AATAATTTTGCAGATCTTTCTTTAATATAATATATTTAGATCAATGTTGAATAAGCCATTACATTGTGGATACAAATGAAGTATTTCTGGTACATGTATTTCTTATTAGCAACAGTGCTTGCCAGCAGTTTCTTGCAAATAGTCGAGAGATAACACATACATTTGGAAGAGATAAAGCAATGATACAATTAAATTCTCTTTTTTTTTTAATCAGTTGAAAATGTATATATACAATTACAATCAATGTATAGAATAGATCATTAAAGTACATCTGTCAATAATTTATTACTTCCGCGTTTTAAGCTAACACACATATCCTTATTGTCATTAGTTGTAACATACTGGCCAATCTTCCATATAAACAGATACTCAAAAATTAAGTATAAGAGAAAAGTCAAGTGGAGGTTTATTCGCTTGACTCTCTATCCAAGGGTTAACGGTTCAAATCCCAGCCCAGCACTAACATCCTTTGGCAAGACGAAAATGACGGAAGGCGAGGGTAACCGAGCAAAATAATCAATCTGCGCATGTGCGAACTAGAATTGTCTCCGTCTTGTTGATTTTCACGACCATAGAGATATAGCCTTATTAAGTATATATCTCTATGTTCACGACCTTTCTCAGCCATAATAGCGTTCGTTCCCTACACTCGACGGAAGAGTTGTACCGCCGTACAATAGACCATTTTCGTAATGTAACCAAATTAATGCATAAGTCTTTGTGAAGTGCCTCAATATACAAATGATTTCATTCACCTGATAAGAATAATAGTATTTCAATAGACATAATCTGAACTGCATACATTATTGATCTCGGTTGAATGAATTATCCCGTTCTCTTTGCCGTCCGTCTCGTTACTAAAGCGCCCTAGTGTCTGTGATACGGTGTTTTATCGAAGCCTTAATATATATATATATATATATATATTTTTAAAAATTGTTATTGCAGCATGAGCTAAATCAAGAATGATTTTTTTTTTTGGGGGGGGGGGAGGGGGGAGGGGCGGTTGTGTGTTTGAGTGTTAGTATGAGAGTGTTGAGGGTGTGTGTGTGAGGGGGGGGGGGGTAGAGCGGATTGTCTCATTCCTCGACTTTGCTCCTCCAACCTGTTGGTGGTCTGGAGTTTCCATTGTACCTGTGGATGGCTTATTTTTACTCCTTTTTCTTCATTTTGGGCCCAACGAAATTTTCAGTTTCTGATGCAATGCTATCTCGAGGTTCTTGCTTTTGTGCTTGTAATTGTTATAATTCTGATTATTTCTATTACGTGTACTCTGCCTTTTTTTTTTCCCCCAGATCATCTCAATTGTTTGTAAATATCTTAATTTGTCATTAATTTCTTTGTAACACAGCATTTGTATTTTTTTGGAAAGTTTGTATATGTTATGATTTGATTTCTTAATAAAAACAAAGTTACCGGATTCCTCTAAAGCCGATTGTGCGAAATGTTAAAGGTAATACAAAGTTTTGGTATGGGGTCATGAATTTGGTTCAAATGAACATATTGGAAGCATATGCGATCCTATAACATTACGTGATCGTTGCCGCGATTGAAATCGAGTCTAAAGATATGAAATTGTAAATAATATACACTTTATGTTGTATAGCTCCCTCTCAAGGTCAAGATATAATTAAGCCATAAGCCACAACTAGGCGTTGTGGCGTGCGCTGTAATCCAGCTATAAGTGGAAGTTACAAATTGATTCAGCCGAGGACGCAGGTTCGAAGCTGAATCACGTCTTTCGGATGGTGACGTTTAAAGGTCGGTCCCCAGACGTAAATAATCATATCTGATGATACACGTCTGTTAAAACCCAATACACACACACACACACACACACACATAAAACAATTTCTAGACTGAAATCTACCGATTAGCTATTTCAGTTTGGAAATAATATATCACAACTACATATTCTGAGATTTTCATGGTCGCAGCTACCGTTATATGGCTGTAATTGCTATTTTAAATTTATCAAAATTTACCGGGAGCACCAGTAAATTTTGATATTCAATTTGTCTCAAAAGCAGAAGTGTTTTAGGGGCTAAATTTTCTAGTGCTTATAAGAAATACACAGGGGCATCCAAATATGTCAAAATTGTAAAGAATCACTATCCAACCAATTTTCAAAATTTCCAAAAACTGTGTATTACCTTTAAAGATAAACTCCAGTTCTGGTAAAAAAAAAAAATAATAATTCTCACAGAATCAAACGAAACTTACACTGAATGTTCAAGATTACAAATAAATGATATGTGCCAAACAATTTTGGAAGAAAATGTATACTGGCTGAGTAATAAGCATAGAAATACAAGGAAATCAAGGTAGTACTAGCCCCGACACCATGTGTGTTGTCCCATATATAGCTTTCTATGTGAGTGCTTGTTACTTTACCAAGATTCGGTCAAATTTATTATGATTTTGATGACTCCAGAACCTTGCAGTGCTCACCAATACTTACATGCTACATGATCAATTACTGTTTCTGATCCTTTCCACACCTTTTCTTTCACAATGCAATCGCATTACCAGTACTAAAGTTTATCTTTAATAAGCGGTTAGTTAGTTTGTTTGTTTCCACAATATTTCATTTTACAAAGAGTGAAACAACATAATGAATGTATTTATAATATACATGTACGTACAATACCGGTATACACTATTAAGAGATTTAGTGGCGGAACCTATGGAAAATCATAGCTTGTTGTTGATAGGCTCCTTAAACTACAAATGACATAATAAACTAAAGTAAAGTTTTTAAAATACAAATACACGCTAAAGCAGGGAAAGGGAGATTATAGGGATACATGAACCGATACTCACATTCAGTGGCGTACGCAGGATTTTTTTCGAAAGAGGGGGGGGTGGTTTATTAACTCAATACCTTTTACGAAAATAAAGCCCGAAGCAGTATTCGCAGGTACAAATGTTCGGTCGCCAGTAGAGGTGCGTGCTACCCCTAAATCCTAATGCATTGTTGCGATTTTCAACAATCGTGCCGTTTTGTGTTCATGATGTGGGTGTTTCTGCGCTTCATTACATTTCTCCAAGCTATCTGACACCAAATGAAATTCTAACTTTTCGAATTTACAATAACCCAATGTTAACGTTAAACCAACTCAAAACCCAATGATACCATTTAAAATCTTGGCCATTCTGGGATTATGTTCGGCCTGTCATCGATACAGTATTGGCCTTATCTGGACTGGAGTATCAGCGCTGTTGTTAAAGGAAATTACTCTTGCAACTGGTTTGAAATGAGGTTATGTTCACAATAGTGTTTACATTATATCTCTATTATTAGTCAAATTTATTATACAAATTACGATTAATTTTAGATTGAGATTGAGATTGAAAAGGTTTTATTAATTGCACTTCGCAGCCAGATGGCTGAATTATGAACAATTTACATTGGCAATAATACATACAAATGTGGTTTGTCATTCTCACAAATTATGATATACAGTATAAAACAAAATTCATAACAAAATTCGTAACCAATATGACTAAGGCAATAACAAGCAAATTAAATCAGGTTTAAAATATATTGTGTGAGGTGACACAAGAGTGGGTCAAAGGATGAGCAAGCAGGCCCTTTGCTCTTCAATACACGCTCTCATTCCTATACACGCTCCTATTCTCACTCCTGTACCATGGACACTCTCATAAACACTCTTATACACTCTCCCATTCACACTCCCATACACTAAAAATGCGGAATGTTAAATGTAAAAAGATATTTGATTCAAGCGAAATATACATAGAAGCATGGAACGATCGAGTATAAATATTATCAAACTTTTCAAAGTAATTAAATTTATTATAGAAAATGCGAGTAATTCCAACAATATTTGATTCAAGACAAGAGGCTAGCGAACATTGATGGCCAAGTCCTATATCAAACATTACAACTCAAATTTCAGTATGTCATATATTCCATGGGTAGATAAACAATAAAACTAGTTGACGGAACAGACACACCCGTTCCCGGGAGGCGTTTATTTTTTTATGCGCACAGATTGGGGCTTTTTTTTTTAAAGGGGTCTTGATTTACAGACTAATACTGGTCGTGTGCGTACTAGACAGTATAGTAGTAGAGGTCTGTTTTAATAGTGTTACATTTAATCCACTACCGCATGGAAAATCATTGCATCAACAATTAAAATCAAATTGGAAATCTGAAGAGGAGGCAGCACGTCAATAAGGAGAACATCACAATAATTAGTCAATAAAACTTAACTAATTTAAACAAAGAGGAATGTCATCTAAACACAGTTCGCGATGGATATACAAACTTCTTCGCAGCGCTAATGCGCTAGCTATAAAAATGACTAGTCTCACGTACGTGCAGACACTATTCAGAAGGGAAAGAACGTACTTCCCATAGGTTTAACACGCGCCATGCCCCAATCTGTGCCGCATAAAAAAAATAACGCTTCCCGGAGATCATACCCCATATCCCACAATTAGCATTATGCACAATTTATTCTTGTTACTAGTTGTTAAAACACCACTTCCAATTTACTTCTGTTGACGTTTACTTACTACTTTGCGTTTCACTTTCAATGTTTTTAAAACAAACATTATATTTGTTAAAGTCTACTAAGGGCTACTAATAAATACTAACAACATCAATAATAATGATAATGATACTTCTACTACTACTACTACTACTACTACTACTACGACTACTACTATTAATACTACTACTACTACTACTACTACTACTACTACTACTATTACTACTTACGATTATGGTAATATTGATTTTTTTTTTTTTTTAAGTTATGATAATAACATTAATTATTAAACTTATATAGCGCATTTTCTAGAGGATTCAATGCACTGCCTTTTAGGCAAATACAAATAAAGAACATTCGAAGAGGTATGTTTTCTGATTACTGTTTTCTGACTATTTCCTGTTTCTTAGAAATGCAAGAAGTATGTCCATAGGCGTAGGCAACAGATAAAAGGATTTTATTGCCAGTCTGTTTGAAATGTTTAGTGTGCACCCGACATGTAGAATGGCTTAATCACAGGTGCGAAGTTAATCCAACTCGTTATTTTACATTAAATGAATTATTGACGCAAGATATAATGGCTACATGACATCATCGATAAGTGAGGCACAGATCTCAAACTCTTCTGGGTTGAGCGTAGCTCCATTCCTTGCTTTCATTGTTAAGGGAGGTGCGCCCTCTGGTGTTGTGAATTGAAAGCGATGTAGAAGATGAGTAAAGAAGATGAATAGTTCCACCTTGGCTAACTGTTCTCCCAGACATCTACGACGACCTGAAAAACAGACAAGAAAACAAGGTTGAAGTATGTGAAATTATTGAATGGGATTAAAAGTTGTTAGTAAGATAAAGAGCTTCAGATTAGGTGGTCAAAGAGTTTTACTAATTTTTTTATATGGCTTCACCAACATAAGATCCCATTAACATTCCTTGTTTTTACAATATCTCGATGTACCTTTATGTTTTCACAATCTATATGATCTTTACTGAATCTTGTGTGAAATTGTGCATTTTTCAGTATTTATTTAAATAATAAACATATTGATGGGTGAAATAAATGAATCTTGGATCTCCAATATGGTGTAGACTCATAACCAGTCTATTATAAGTTAGCATACTATATTCAAGGCATTCATCCGAGGCTTGTAATTTTGTACTGCATGATGAAAATGTTTACTTTAAAGGTAATGCAAAGTTTTGGTATAGGGTCGTGAATTTGGTTCAAAAGAACATATTTGAAGCATATGCGATCCTACAATAATCAGTGATTGTTGTCGCGGTTGAAATCGAGTCTAAAGTGATAAAAGTGTAAATAATAGACTCTTTATATTGTATAGCTCCCTCTCAAGGTCAAGATATTAATTTAGCTATAAAACACAGTTTCTTGACTCAAATCGACAGATTAGCTATTCCCGTTTGGAAATTATATATCACAACTGCATATATGAGATTTTCATGATCGCAGCTATTATTGTAAGGCCGTATACGCTATTTGAAATTTATCAAAATTTACCGGGAGCACCGGTAAATTTTTATATTCAATTTTTCTCAAAAGCAGAAGTGTTTTAGGGACTAAATTTTCTAGTACTTATAATACATCCACAGGGGCATCAAAATATATAAAAATGTAAAGAATCACTATCCAGCCAATTTTCAAAAATTTCCCCAAACTTTGTATTACCTTTAATGTTCAACGCTACGATTAAAATAATATAGAAATCATGGAATCCTACAACAATCGTATCCCAATGACTAGGTTATTGCCAACGACCATCTCTTACAATTAGGGCCTCACGCATTTATTTGAACCCATGCTAGGGAGATCCTTGGTCTACTTGTGTGGATCCACCTCTCGCTTGGTAATCTTCGAGTCAAGTACCCCCTAGGACAACTACTCCCTAGGACAACTACCACCTAGGACAACTACCCCTAGGACAACTACCCCAGGACAACTGTCCCTAGGACATCTACCCCCGGAACAGCTAATCCTAGGATAGTTGTTTGGGGGTAGTTGTCTGGGGTAGTTGTCCGGGGGTAGTTGTCAGGGGGTAGTTGTCCGAGGGGGTAGTTATCCGGGGTAGTTGTCCTAGAAGGGTGGTTGCCCTAGGGGGTAGTTGTCCTAGGGGGTACTTGACTGGGGGTAGTTATCAGTGGGTAGTTGTCCAGGTGGTAGGTGTCTTAGAACCCTCATCGACACATACAATGCACTATAATTCTGAAGCATCTATCTCTTGATAAATACAATGGGGGGACAAGTGGTTCTTCGAGTGGCATATAAGAGTTAATGAATACAAAGAAGGGTTTACCCTCCAAAGTGACAGAAGATTATACCCTGACATGAATGAAGCCTTACCGATAGAGAATGGAATAAGTTCCTCCCTCTGAACAACTTGTTTGGTATCTGGGCTAAGAAACCTGTCTGGGTTGAATTCATCAGGTTTTTCCATAGGTCAGGGTCATGATGAATGGCCCATAGGTTTGGTAAGATGACAGTTCCTTCAGGGATGTCATATCCATTGAGAACAGTATCTTGGACAGGTGCATGTGGGACGCCAAGAGGTGTAATTGTAGCAAAACGTTGAATCTCAAGCAAAGTAGCTTCGGTGTAAGGCAAACTGGTCTATCTGTAAGACTTGGCAACGATTTCGTCCAACAACATCATCTAGTTCCTTATGTATCTTTTCTTGAACATCTTTATGTAATAGCATGTACATCAAGGCCCACTTTAGGGTTGTAGCAGTTGTCTCAGTCCCAGCAGCAAACAGATCAGCGACGGCGTGATACATGTTTTCTTTCGTGAAAGTGTGTTTAACCAGGAGTCTCGCGTTCTGCTTCTATATCTGTTCAGTGTACATCTCCACATAACATGTGGGAGATCTACGGCTTTTCTCCTGCTCCTCGTGGACTTTCAAGACCAGTGGCTTCATGAATCTATCATGGTTTTGTTGGAGTGCTATCATTCGTTTAAACCGCTCCCAGTAGAAATCTCAAGAACGGAAGGAAATTGAAGAGTCCTGCAACTTCCGCAATCTCAAAGCTTTCAAACAAAGAGGCGAGGATGGCTTTGAAACTCTCGTCGTTATAGTCAAAGCGCTTACCGAGGCTCAACCAACAGATGATATTGGAAACACTTACGACAATGTCATGAAAAGGTACAAAAGGCTTTGATTGTCTACTAGCAAAGATCGTCGCTAGCTGGCGTGCTTCATCTACGATAGTTTCTTCCATTTTAAACTTGCCCATACCAAGTGATCGTAGAGCGAGAGCGAGAAGCGACGGTGCTCAGTCTGCATCTGACCAAAGTAGGACACGATCAAACCTGAAAAATATATAACAGGACAAACACAATTCGTGACAGAACGAGTTAAACCTTGGATTTGCAGTAACCATGTCAATGTAACAATGCTGTTCATAATCCATAATTTGTTTGGAATTTTACTCCTGTCTATTGCATTGAGTTCGTTTGTATGAATGTATAGATTTATGGTATTACGCTGGCTCACAGTGCAGTAAGAAGTTGATTAGCCCGTGCATACAGCATACTAATCATTGTTTAAAGAGCATCATACTCTCAGTCTCAATTAATTTTCCCCGATTTCCGAATACCATCTCATTAATAGCGTCAAATACAATAAATGAATGATAAAACCAAGGTTGATTAAATACACATGGAAATTCCTGTTTCAAGGTAACAAGCAAGTAATTTTAAGGTAGAAACCTCTTCGAGTTTACTCGGTGAAATCATATTTGCCAACCTAAGCAACTTTTAAGTGCTTTAAATTCTTGGGCTGTATTTGATTGTTTCAGATATGATCGTTGATTGTGTACATAAAAGAATGGACTCAAAAAGTTTTTTTTTCTCGTTTCATATGTTGGTATACTATACTAGACATGCTAGGAGAATGGCAAAAATGAACTTTAGACGCTCTGCTTGTCAAGCGGAATGAGAACGATCAATGGCAGCCATGCTAATGCCAGGATAATAATTTCCGCTTTGGAAGCGGATAGAGACGTATACATGTGATTATGTGCTACACAAGAACCAGATATTATTATAAATATTCATTATGAATGTCCTTCCGATTGACTGTTTGAGCAATAAAGTAAAGTGGTAAATCACTACCATTTCAATTAAATTCAGTTAAATCCAACCCATTCAATAACTTTATCTGTCCACCGTAATAATTAATTCCACAAAATATTATCTTTACTCTTCCATCTAAAGGTACTATGTCCCTTTGCAGCCAACCTCAAATCTGTAGAACTTTGCAGGAATTATGAATATGTCATGTGTGTCATATCTGTGAAATTTAAACGTTAGCAGTGTCCTCATATTCAAATTATGCAAGGAAACCCGTTTACTTGCTAGACTTCACTGTCAGACACTATTGAGTGACTGACTGGCTCTTTTTTCTTCTTTGGTAATAACATACATGAAAAGAGTTGTAAAAGGTACATGAGCATTTGTCTACATCAATAACCACTTCTTGTGATGGCCAAGATTAAACTGATTGAATCTTTGCGCAGCATAAAACGTATGACCATTCGGTACAATTGTCTGAAAATCAAGATTATTACTTTTGGGCTCTATAGCCCTAAAGTCGATTTGACAAATAGTCGTTATTTTCCCACTTGAAGACATTTTCAAGCCTCACCTTTTTTATGGAAGTTCTAAATTAGTATTATCTTTCAAATGCAGTTGGAATTTAACTTTTTCATTTTTTTGCCCTGCAAATGGAACATAGTACCTTTAAAGGAAATTCTATTACGAAAATTAAATTATAATACTAAAATCTCCTTCGGCTGGCTGTTATTTTTGTCCGTTTCCCTTTTCCCTATATTTTGTTTCTCTCATTTTAACCATTCTTTCCCTCCTTCTTTTAATTCTCTTTCTCTTCTTCTTCTTCTTTAATTTCTTCTCAAGAATTAAAACAAATTGTATTTGTTTCGTCTTCTCATGCCACAAATCGTCGTCTTTTACGAAAAATATTATTACTGTCTGATTTCAAGTATATAATAATTTTGGATCACTGACATCAGGGGCGTAAATCCGTACCGAGGAGTGGGGGGGGGGGGATGATCGGCGATAGCCATCAAATACTAGCACGAGCACACGCCCACACTAATTTACGCAAGCGCGCGCGATCGCGCACGCACAAAACACACAAACACACAACACACACACACACGCACACACACAAACGAACAAACAACAAACAATATTAGAGAAAAAAAGACGATTCGTTGTACCGTTCTCGTCTCTTAATCCTCGTCTGAATGCAGTTTCCCCCTCCCCTCCCGCGCGAAGGCGGAAGCTATTACGTTTCATTAAATCATTAGAGAAAGAAGATGATTCGTTGTACCGTTTCTTGACTTTTAATCCTCATCTGAATTCAGTTTCCCCCCCCCCCCCCCCCTCCCTCCCGCGCGAAGCGCGGAGCTTTTACGTTTCATTAAATCATTAGGAAAAGAAGACGCTTCGTTGTACCGTTCTAGACTTTTAATCCTCATCTGAATTCAGTTTTTCCCTTCCCCCCTCCTGCTCGAAGCGCGGAAGCTTTTACGTTTCATAAAATCATTGGAGAAAGAAGACGATTCGTTGTACCGTTCTCGACTTTTAATCCTCGTCTGAATTCAGTCCACCCCCCCCCTCCTCCCGCCGCGCGAAGCGCCTAAGCTTTTACGTTTCATTAAATAATTAGAGAAAGAAGACGATTCGTTGTACCGTTCTCGACTCTTAATCCTCGTCTGAATTCAGTTCCCCCCTTCCTCCCGCGCAAAGCGCGGAAGCTTTTACGTTCATTAAATCATTAGGGAAAGAAGGACGATTCGTTGTACCGTTCTCGACATTTGATCCTCATCTGAATAAGTTTTTCCCTTCCCCCCTCCTGCGCAAAGCGCGGAAGCTTTTACGTTTCATAAAATCATTGGAGAAGAAGACGATTCGTTGTACCGTTCTCGACTTTTAATCCTCGTCTGAATTCAGTCCCCCCCCCCCCCCCCCCCCTCCCGCGCGAAGCGCGGAAGCTTTTACGTTTCATTAAATCATTAGAGAAAGAAGACGATTCGTTGTTCCGTTCTCGACTCTTAATCCTCGTCTGATTCAGTTCCCGCCTCCCTCCCGCGCGAAGCGCCTAAGCTTTTACGTTTCATTAAATAATTAGAGAGAGAAGACGATTCGTTGTACCGTTCTCGACTTTTAATCCTCATCTGAATTCAGTTTTCCGTTTTCATTAAATCATTAGAGAAAGAAGATGATTCGTTGTACGTCTCGACTTTAATCCTCATCTGAATTAAGTTTTTCCTTTCACCCCCCCCCCCCCCCCCCCCCTCCCCTCCCCCCCCCCCCCCCCCCCCTTCCTCCCGCGCGAAGCGCGAAGCTTTTACGTTTCATTAAATCATTAGAGAACGAAGACGATTCGTTGTTCCGTTCTCGACTCTTAATCCTCGTCTGAATTCAGTTTTTCCCTCCCCTCCCGCGCGAAGCACCTAAGCTTTTACGTTTCATAAATATTAGAGAAAGAAGACGATTTGTTGTACCGTTCTCGACTTTTAATCCTCATCTGAATTCAGTTTTTTATTTTTCCGTTTCATTCCCCTCTCGACCGATCCCCCCCCCCCCCCCCCCCCCCCCCCCCTCCTCCCGCGCGAAGCGCGGAAGCTTTTACGTTTCATTAAATCATTAGAGAAAGAAGACGATTCGTTTGCACCGTTCTCGACTTGTAATCCTCATCTGAAGTCAGTTTTTTTCCTTCCCCCCCCCCCCCCCCTCCCTCCCGCGCAAAGCGCGGAAGCTATTACGTTTCATTAAATCATTAGAGAAAGAAGACGATTCGTTGTACCGTTCTTGACTTTTAATCCTGAATTCAGTTTTTCTTTCTTCTTCTTCTTCTTCCTTTTTTTTCTCTCTTTTTTTTGTAATATCAGGGGGGATGATTGTACAGGCTATCCCCCCCCCCCTACTTCAAGCCAGGGGGGATGTAGCCCCCCCCCCCCCCGGGATTTACGCCCCTGAGTGACATTGTTTAGGGTCCTTGTTTCGTACAAACTATTATCAATAAGAAAAAAAATGTACAGTATATAGTTAAACGATTTTATTGACCATGAGTGGATTTGCCCTATATCTATGGCAGTTAGTCATTATTGTTTTTTTAATGAAAGAGTTAGAGAGCCGTCCGTAATGGTTGTATTCTATATTAGTCTTAAAGCTTATCAACACTAGTGTGGCTAGGAGGGATTAGACCACACAGCGAGGTCACTGACAGGTGGCTATCTCATCAACTCAGCTCTCAAATAACATAAGAAATAGAGGATCATGGGAGACCAACAGGCACCGATTGGGGAAGTTTTCTATACAGAGTAGCTACAAGTAGGACAGTGGGGCTTTAAAATATCGGAATGAGACTTATCTTCTTACCTTTTCCTTGGACAAGATTTTCAATCATGGTGATCTTCGGTCTGTCACTAAATTCATCGTTTGATTTCGCGAAGGCTTGTCTGACGAGAGAATAGTCACTGAGTATCACCGCATAAAATGATCCCATCTTCATACCGAAGATTGGTCCGTACTTCTTGGCCATGTCAGCTATGATAACGTGTGGCATATCTGTGCCTGCCAGACTTGGTAGGCCGCCTAACACCGGCCATTCCCTAGGGCCACGGGGAGGTAGATTCTTGTATTTCTTCTTACCCGATCGAACCAGAATAAATGAAAGCAAGAAAGCAATCAATCCTGCTAAGATAAATGGCGTGAAGCCATAATAGAAGACAGACGAAGACATTTTCTCTACTGAGGCATACATTTTGAAGTTGGTAATCCAATGCACAATATATAACCATGCATACGTATATTACGTATACCTAACTATACACTGTATACTTATTGCAGCTGCAGGGAGGTGCTTATAATGAATAGTAGGTCGGCACGTTATATTTAACGATTAGTCTACTTAATCAGACTAGTTTTGTTTTGTATTTGTCTGAAGCATCACCTTTCTCAGTAGGTCTATGGTCTAACCACAACAGAAACTGTGAGAAATACATGCACATTCTAAAATAAAAAATAAAGTATAATTAGAATGTTATTTGATAACAAGAAGTACAAATCGGAGAGCATAGCATTTCCCGGGTGTTCAGGCAGTGGAATCACACAGAGAACTTTTAAAGTAGTTTCAGATTCAAATGAGGTATAGAGCCCCATGCAAAGACCGGTGCCTCGCTAAGTATTCATATTTCGAAATGAAAAAGTGGATGAAGGAAGGAAAGGGGAAACTGACAAAATGTATATGTCGGCGGGGGGGGGGGGGGGAATTGTGTGAAAAAACAGCTTAGTTATATTCATGTATACGTCATATGAGTGAGAACAGTACATGTTACAACGTTACGAAGTTTAACGTCTTGACATCCGTATAAGGCCAACTATAGATAAAAGTATTGTTTAATGTGTTTAATGGAAAAATTATTATTTTCATTTTCAGTTTCAGTTTATATTTATAGTTCACATGTTGTATAATACATTTGAACTCATTCTAAGGAATAGGCAAACATTGGTCATATAATTACACGACGCATGTTAACCCATTCGTTCCTGAATACTTGTGTTACATTATCACTACCCGAACTAAAGCCATTACAAACTGATTGTCATATGGAGATGACACACATTGTATGAATCAGATATGAATGAACCTTTTTATTTACATAATCAGATAATATGCAAATGATGTCATTTAGAGATAGTATATAAACAAATTAGTATCAAGGTTCATTTGCGAACGACATCATGATAAACGAGTGTATTAAAATGAATCGCACTGTCAGCATCCGAGTATAACTAGTACTCTCAAGAAACTGAACTACACTGGCTTCCTATAGATAAGCGCATCATGTTCAAACTTGTATTAAATACATGAAAAGCACAACGCAGTTCTTCTCCTTCATACCTGACTGATTTGATCAAACAATGCCACCGACCCCGAACCCTCCGTTCAAGCATTGCTTTGTGTACCGAAAACCAATATAATATTCTATGGGGGGAGACCTTTTGTAGTTGCTGGACCAAACCATTGTAACAATCTTCCCAAATTCATACGACAGGCCCCAACTTCTGCACCGTCCAAATCTGTACTAAAACGCATCTCCTTGGCCTCAATTAATTATCTTAAACTGTATTTTTTTCCTTACTTACTTTATTTTTTAAAAAAAACACCATATTAGCTATCTTTCTATTATGTTAATTACTATGTTTAATAAGTTAATAATTTTAGTACTTATACGATCTGTATACTTCTCTTTGCTGATTCCTTTTTGTATGATTATATTTCTCTTGTCATTCATGCTTGTACAGCGTGTAGAGAATCTTTATTCTAATGCGCTCTATGAATATTGTACTATTATTATTATTGATTTAAAAATGAGTCATTAAACGAGTTCCTATGAGATTACTACATACTAATTTGAGAAAGTTTTGGCATTAGACCAGCAAGCTGTATTTAATAATGCGATATTCGATCAAGCAAAGTTCCCTCACTGGTATGTTTAAATGCCGATGAAGTAAATACAACAAAGTACGTATAGGGAGGTAGGATAGCTGTATTATGCCCAATATGGAGTAATCGTTGTAACATCTGAAAGGTTGCTTGAGAAAAAGAAACAATGGTTTTCTTTAGAGAGTTTCGATAAAATAAGAGAGATCTTGTCACTAGTCCTAGGACTTCGATAATGTTTAAGGATTGACACCATACAACGTTGAGACTGAGCAAGATATGGCGAGAAGTGATACCGATGAATTATGTTGAATATAACATAATTATCTAGAAAGGCTTCAAATCTAATCTCCAAGTACATAAGCAATTCTGATTAGTTGAACTGATATTCCCTTAAAGAATCCGTTGAATTAAAGGGACTTTGTAACATTGTTCAGATGAGAGATAGTGGTGCTAAGGTAGTGACTTCAATGCTAGATGTAGGCTACAATTAAAGATAATCTGAAAATTTGAGTGAAAACGGATCATTATTCATGGTACAAATTGGGAAAAACTGATCTGATCGATTCCTTAATTCTCCCAACTATATTATTCTACTTCTATTCTGCTACTTGTCAAAGCCTGTTCAGCATCAAGACAAGGACAATTTAATTACATTTTAGGTGCACGTAAATTTTCACAAAGCAATAAAACGGCTCTACATTCCATTCCAGACAGTGAAGTGTTGACAGATTTTTATAGCCTGTTTTATGTATTTTTCTCATGGAAAAACGGTTGGGAAAATTCAAAAATGTTTGGGAGAATTTACTGTTAATCACTGTTAGAGGGTGCCTCCCATCGACGCCTTCAAAGAAAACCATAGATATCTTTGTGGTTTGAGAATTTGTTCAGGAATTTTTGCATGTCAGAGGGTTAGTATAGTAGAAGGAATATAGTAAGTAACATTTTATACAAAAATTAAGCAATTATTTTCATCAACCTTCAACAATGTTACCCAGTCACTTTAAAGGGACTTTGTAACATTGTTCAGATGAGAGATAATGGTGCTAAGGTAGTGACTTCAATGCTAGATGTACAATTAAAGATAATCTTAACATTTGAGTGAAAACGGACCATTATTCATGGTACAAATCGGGAAAAACTGATCTGATCGATTCCTTAATTCTCCCAACAATATCATTACAATTTAATTACATTTTAGGTGAATGGAAATCGCCACAAAGCAATAAAAATGGTTCTACATTCCATTCCAGACATTTAAGTGTTGACAGATTTTGTAGAGCCTGTTTTATGTCTTTTTTTTCATGGAAAAACGGTTGGGAAAATCCAAAAATGGTTGGGAGAATATGCTGTTAATCATTGTTAGAGGGTGTCGTACTGTACATCGACGCCTTCAAAGAAAACCATAGATATCTTTGTGGTTTGAGAATTTGTTCAGGATTTTTTTGCATGTCAGAGGGTACAGTAGAAGGAATATAGTAAGTATCAGTTTATACAAAAAATTAAGCAATTTGTTCATCAACCTTCAACAATGTTACCAAGTCACTTTAAACCACAGACGCGATGAATAAACAGTGTACATGCATATTTTGTTTACGGAATGTACATCATAATGCATTCAAAGAGTTGGTTCCATTGGAGAAAAAAGACACACTCTTTTATTCATTCAGTCAGGCGAAATTAAAGGTGTCCCGGGATTCATGAAGTTACCACCAATTAAATACAATAAAAAAGTAAATGTCTTTCACCGAATATTAATACCTACTCATGTAAAAGAGCTTAATCCAGCTTGTCTTTGTGTTCTTCCCTTTTGAATAATGTTGTATGTCGATGATCAGTTCAAGGTTCATGTGATATTTCGAAAGCCATAAGGGCTTCATAAAAGGAATCACTGATCTACGAAGAAGTATTAAAGCAAGTGAACCTACCTTTTCCTTCTGCGATGTTTTCAATCATTGTGATCTTTGGTCTGTCACCAAATTCTTCATTTGATTTCGCGAATGCTTGTCTGATGAGAGAATAATCACTGAGTACTACTGCATAGAATGAGCTCATCTGCATACTGAAGATTGGTCCATATTTCTTGGCCATTTTAGCTATGATAACGTGCGGCATATCTTTGCCTGCCAGACTTGGTAGGCTGCCTAACACCGGCCATTCCGTAGGGCCGCGGGGTGGTAGATTCCTGTACTTCTTACTCCTACCCGATCGAACCAGAATGAATGAAAGCAGGAACGCAATGAATCCTGCTAAGATAAATGGCGTGAGGCCATAATACAAGACAGACGCAGACATCTTCCCAAAAACTACATGCATCCTCAATTTCTGTAGTACGTATGTCAGTTTACAAGGCAAAATGTCTCGATTGTCTGTATTTATATTGAACTCTATATCGAGGTACTGAGAGATTGTGGATTACGTAAGTCTTCCATTATCGATGCTCCGGTGTCAATATCGTCTCTGTCATTTCTAGCACTGACGGACGGCAGAACCTTAAGCAGGGCTCCCACTTAGCCGAGTTTATGGCTAGCCATTTTATCATTAAAACATATTTTGGATATCACGAATTCAATTCCTGATATCAAGAATTACCGATGCTTTACAACGTAAAATTATTTCTTGATATCAAGAAATATGTTTTAATGATAAAACGGCTTGCCATAAGCTCGCGCCAGCTCGCCACAACTCGAGGCTCCAACTCGGCTAAGTGGGAGCCCTGCTTTATACCATACCAAATCCTAACTCTTATGTAACGAGTCGAGCAATAAGGACGCAGGATTCAATTTCAAGGATTCCACTTGGTTCCATCTTTATTGGTTCTGGCTATTTTCTGTCTCTTTTAATATCCACGAACTGTAGGTCCTGCAAGGGACACACCCAAATTCAGCATGGAGTCTTTTGTGTATAAGTACCTCCTTTCTCGGAGCCCACCAAAATATGTGTCTCTCTACCAACATGACCAGCATACCTTCTCCGCATACACTGTCCACGTACTTTTATTAATATATTCATGCCATGTATGCTATTTGAAGTGTTTACCATTGTTTAAGTCATGGCTTCCACAAGTTGCAGTGGTTGATTTGAATATGTGTACGCCTGCAGTCATATTACTACACTTATATACTTTTGTTAAAAAAAGAACCACCCCACACAAGCTCACACACACACAGACAGGCGCCACAATTGTGGAGACATGTCCTGAATTTGAAGAAATTGACCTCAGCCTCATTGGGACGAAGACGAGGGGGAATTAAAAAATGTTTCGATAAGTGGTGTGAAACATGTCCATATATGCCCACCGCTAATACAATCAATTTTTAACAGTTCTGTAATGGAAATTAACAAATCTTGAATACCCAATTTTGGATACTCTTTTTACGAATTGACGTTCTGAAATTCCCAAGGTGTGTTAAGAATGAACCAGCATTCACAAGGGCCATATTTCCTTAGGATATGTCTCTGTCCTGACATTTACCGACGACCGTAAATAGGGAATTTTAGATCTGCACGACGACATAGTGGACTGCTACTTGTGAAGTCCTTATAAGGCACTGTGATGTCCTTTTGAGGCGCTGCCAGTGCCTCAAAAGGACGTAACGCGTAGCAGTCTACTATGTCGTCGTGCAAATCTAAAAGTCCATATTATCGCAGGCAAACAAAGTAAACATGTCTGTTCTTTAAGACTAGGTAATATCGAGTCCAGCTGTATTGTTCGATCTTTGTCTTTTGTTATTTACTAAGGAGCCATTAAGATATCCTGTCGCTGGATAATAACATCACCATAGGTCGCGGACAAAGGTGGTTTCATCAAACGATCCGGCGATACTATTGTCCCAAGTGTTATAATATGGAGTTCAATCATACACGGAATTCTTTGCACACCATTCATGTGACTGCATGACAAGACGACATGTAAGTATTTTTTTAATATTTTTTTTTTGGCGGGGGGGGGGGGTCGTTTCTTGAAACCAACTCTATGACCATGACAAGTCCCCCCCCCCCCCCAACTGTGAATGGAGGGATACCATGCGTGTTCCCAAACTCTCCAGCTCGTAACAAAAGAAAAAGGGTTACCCGTATTGACTTTACACACAGGACTTTTGCTGAAAATGGGGGGGGGGGGTGCTGAAAAGGCTCGTATAACAAAAGAAAAAGGTCGACCCGTATTGACTGTACACACCGGACTTTTGCTGAAAAGGGGGGGGGGGTCGCTGGGAACACGCATATGCGTACCCTAAATAACACTGAGTGGGGGGGGGGGGGGGGGGGGGGGTCGGCGACAAGTCATATCTTTGTCCGCGACCTACATGTACTTGTATTTTAATATGACGGTCTCGTGCAAGTGTACCCACTACCACTACAAGTCACCTACGCAAGTAATCGGAACGCGTGTAATATTTTACTATTTTGTTAGTATTTATTTATTTGTTTATTTATCTTCAGGACACTTCTTAGCGTCTTATCAGGAAACACACGAGAGGAGTTAGTACAGATTATTGCACAGGGGAACCTGTATTAGCAACTTTCGTGCAGTGACTGTCGTCTGGGCAAGATGGATTTTGGTATAAGTCTCACAACGTTTCTTCTAGGAATGGTAACCTTCCTTGTAACCTTGATGATGGTCTGGTCTCGAACCGGGAGAACGTATGCCAATCTCCCACCGAAGGGACCTCCCGAATGGCCGATCATTGGCAGCCTGCTTAGCCTAGCAGGAGAGCACCCACCTCACCAGATCTTAGCTAACATGGCCAAGAAGTATGGACCTATCTTCAGTATGCAGATGGGATCATTCTATGCTGTGGTACTCAGTGATTATTCTCTCATTAAACAAGCTTTTGCAAAGTCCGGAGATGACTTTAGTGATAGACCAAAGATTGCTATGATAGAGCATTTAGCAGAAGGAAAAGGTAAATATACTAAATATATCCAAAAGTTTGTGCCAGCACTTATGTTCTCTTTAAATGATATCATTGTTTAATAGCATAAGTTTAGACAAAAATAAAGAAGAATAGTTCATTACCTTAGAGTTAATTTAGCCATCTGCTTATTGATATTTATACATTTCTTTTTATTTCAAAAATTTGCAAAAGATTGTCGGTTCACATTATTTGCTTTTAAGTTACACATTTCATTTTCAGTGGCGGTAATGTATAAATGATGTGATATATCACTTTCTTATTCCTTTTATTATGTTACATTTCATCTGTTAGTGTGTGTGTGTATGGCCATGATAAATAACAATGTTTTATCATATTTCTTTCTTCTGCTCTAGGTCTCATCTCGGGTTACAATAGCCCGGCCCAAATTGAACAGCGTCGTTTCACATTTTCTGCTCTCCGCTCTCTTGGTATGGGAAAGTTTCGAATGGAAGAGACGATTTCAGAGGAGATTCAACACCTTATCAAGAGCTTTACAGAACGCAACACCCAACCGTTCATTCCATTTCATGACATAACTGTGTCAGTTTCTAATGTCATTTGTTGGTTGAACTTTGGAAAGCGATTTGAATATAACGATGACGACTTCAAGGGTGTCCTGGAAGCCCTCTTTGGAATTGTGGAGATTACCGAAATCGGAGGTGTTTTCAATTTTCTGCCCTTCTTGCGTTTTCTACCTGGAAGCGGTCTTAAGAAGTGTTTCAAGCACAAGGCTATATTCGACAAGCACATGTATCCTCTAATAAGAAAAATAAAACAAAGTTACGACGACAAGTTCGAGTCAGCAGAGTGTTACATTCACATGTATGCTGATAAGATAGCCGAAGCTGCGAAGCAGAACATTGTCCCAAATTTGTTCAATGATGGGAACATGGTGTTGGCAGTAGCGGATCTCTTCGTTGCGGGTACTGAGACAACTGCTACAACTCTTAAATGGGCGCTGCTTTACATGGTGGTCAATCAAGACGTTCAGAAAAGAGTACAAGAAGAACTGGACAGAGTGGTCGGTGTGGACCGGCTGCCTAGTCTGTTGGATAAACCTAACTTACCTTACACGGAAGCCACCTTACTGGAGATTCAACGCAAGGCGTCTATCGTACCATTGGGAGTCCCACACGCACCTGTCCAAGATACTATTCTCTATGGATACGATATCCCTAAAGGAACTGTGGTCTTACCAAACCTATGGGCCATTCATCATGACCCTAACCTATGGAAGAACCCTGATGAATTCAATCCAGACAGGTTTCTCAAACCAGACACCAAACATGTTGTTCAGAGGGAGGAACTTATTCCATTCTCTATCGGTAACTATTGATGATGCAATACCATTTGTTGGCATAACTTACCAAATTGTATAATTTTACTCTATTTTCAAGTAGTCTGACCAAGATTACTTGAAAAGAAAAGAAAATGATCACTAAGAGTATCATCTCAAGACACCTAATTGTACACAATAAGTTATATGATGGGATCAATTAGGGAACTAACTCAATTGGTCACTTACAATTTAATTTTTTCAGAGTGTGATGTGTTGAGTGCAGTTTACTGATAATTCACACACAAAATAAAATGGGACAAGAGGAACGAGTCAGAAAGCTCTACAGGTGCATGTTATTCTGACAAAATCTTCTTTATCTAATATTGCAAACTTGAAAAATAGCTATATACAAAGAGTTAGTTTAATGGCGCTGAATAAACGGATAAAAGAGAATAAGGAATATTTTCCTTAAAGATAAGGTACAACATTACAAACTGGTAGTTTTTCAGCTCTGCGCCATTGTCACATTACCATCGACTGCACTGTCACTTTCATTTGGCACTTGTTTTGTACAATATACAGTTAACCACTGTAATTTATAAATTTGATGTTTTTATTTGTTCGTAACTTAAGAATGAAAGGTGGACCGGTTGAATTATATTGAATCCTTTTAAATGTAAGCTTTAATAAAATATGTCACATTCTCAAGAAAATAAATCGGGACGAATCGATTTTTCACGTAATTAAAAATTTACAAAACATGATAAGGATTTGGATAATTTAGTTGTTAGTACATGTATATCAACATGTAGACCCTTCTGGTCGGATCAAATTTGATACCATTTTCATTCATGTTTATGTATTATTTTGTTGCTCTGTCAGGACGTCGGAGGTGCATCGGTGAGGAGTTGGCCAAAGTGGAGCTCTACCTCTTCTTTACTCACCTGCTGTGTCGCTTTCACTTCATCTTGCCTCCAGGAGCACCCCAACCTACAATGGAGGGAAGATCTCTCGCTACATTCGTACCCCACGATTATTCGTTATGTGCTATTCCAAGATGCAGGGACAAGGACTTTGAGGAATCATGATCTTATTTATATCTTTAATAATCATTGAATTATCTTGGAATTGTAATTGTAATTGTAACCAATTCAAAACCAAAAAAGGCAAGTTTGAATCAAAGACAATACGCCAAGAACAGCCAACCACTTACAAAGTATGCGCATGGATTCAAGCCGACTCCTGATTGGTTTAGATTACCTAATCATGATTAAGATGAAGGCGTAAATAGAATATTCCTTCTGATTGGCTAATATCAATCAATAATGATCAAGGTGTGGTTGTAGCTCATATACATGAGCGAGCTGATTCCTGATTGGTAAAGATTAACCATGAGTGGGTAAAATTACTTCAGAGCCTCATGCCAAGACTATGTTGTGTAGATCCAGTAAACCGGGAAACGAGCGAATATGACAAAAGCACTTCGGTACTCTTTACTTTTGCCATTAAAGGTACTATGTCCCATTTGCAGGCCAAAAAATTGAAAAATTTAAATTCGAACTGCATTTGAAAGATAATACTAATTTAAAACTTCCCTAAAAAAGGTGGGGCTTGAATGTGTTTTCAAGTGGGAAAATAACAACTACAAATCGACTTTAGGGCTATAGAGCCCAAAAGTAATAGTCTTGATTTTCAGACAATTGTATCGAATGGTCATACGTTTTATGCTGCGCAAAGATTCAATCAGTTTAATCTTGGCCATCACAAGAAGTGGGTTATTGATGTAGACAATGCTCATGTACCCTTTACAACTCTTTTCATGTATGTTATTAAAAAAGAAGAAAAAAGCCAGTCAGTCACTCAATAGTGTCTGACAGTGAAGTCTAGCAAGTAAACGGGTTTCCTTGCATAATTTGAATATGAGGACACTGCTAACGTTTAAATTTCACAGATAGGACATACATGACATATTCATAATTCCTGCAAAGTTCTACATAATTTGAGGTTGGCTGCAAAAGGGACAAAGTACCTTTAAGGCTATAACGTGATCCTCTCTCTCTCTCTCTCTTTTTTCTCTACAAATTATGACTCATCTAATTCACCAACTATTCTCTCTTGTTACCTTTATGACTAATACCAACCCTGTCCCCTTCTCTCTCCCGTTGTTTCTCTCTGTCTTTCATGTTATGCCCCCTCGATCTCTATCCCTATATCTACTTCCAGTCTTTCTATCTCTTTTTTTCCTTTCTCTCTAGGCACCCTCTTATAATACTACATTTAGCATTTATCTTGTTAATTTTCTGTTATAAATTATTATTTTCACTTTTCAGGCTTTAACAAAATTGTTTTATGTAACGACAGTATACATGTCAATAATTGTTCGCACTTTATATTGGGACCTATTATTTGCAGGTTGACTGGGTACCAGATATTATCTATCACTAAAAGGAAAGCTTTTCACACCAGTATGTATCAAGAAATTTGAATTGGGAAATGGAGAATTGAATGTGGGATTCCTTTAATTGACTCACACTTTATCATTTCTGTCTATTAAAGCTAAACTTTAGTACTGGTAATGCGATTGCATTGTGAAAGAAAAGGTGTGAAAGGATCAGAAACAGTTGATCATGTAGCATGTAAGTATTGGTGTGCACTGCAAGGTTCTGGAGTCATCAAAATCATAATAAATTTGACCGAGTCTTGGTAAAGTAACAAACACTCACATAGAAAGCTATATATGGGACAACACACATCGTGTCGGGGATGGTACTACCTTGGTTTCCTTGTCTTTCTATGCTCATTACTCAGCCAGTATACATTTTCTTCCAAATTGTTTGGCACATGTCATTTATTTGTAATCTTGAACATTCAGTGTAAGTTTCGTTTGATTCTGTGAGAATTAATTTTTTTTTTTTACCAGTACTGGAGTTTATCTTTAATCACCCGAAATGTTTTTGCGTCCTGAATATATGTACCAGACAGACGGTACGTCTATTGATGTTCGTAGCCTGTACTTTACTCTGTATACAGGTTAATGACTAATCATTGATTACACAGCGCTAGGTCTAGGTCAGACAATTTTGTCTAAAGTTCGTTGACACGTTGACAGTGTCGCAAAGAAATTAACATAGACAAAGATATTGAATGCAAAGGAAATTGAAACAATTAGAGGAAGATAAGAAGACGAAAAAAGCCTCCCTAAAAAGGAATATAAGGAAGAAAATAAATACGTTTTCAAATTACAAGCGAAATTCAAGCAGACTCGTTGTATTAAATGATCGTTTTCTCAGTTGTGTGTGGTATTTGGACTAGATTGATATTAAAGTTATGCACCATATTAACTGGTGCATAACTTTAATATCAATTCTCCGGGGTAATTTTCCAGGGGGTAATTTTCCTCGGAAGGTAATTTTCTGGGGGTAATCTTCCGGGGGGGTGATTGCCCATGGGGTAATTGTCTTAGAACCTACCACCCTACCTCTATTACCATCCCGCCCCACACCGACCCGCCTCCCCAACCATCCGCCTGTACCACCACCCCAACTCCACCACCACCCCGCCTCCACCACAGACCCAGTGGCGGATCCAGGGGGGGGCCCGGGGGCCCGGCCCCCCCCCCCCCCTTGAGAAAAAAATCATGTAAAATCACGTGATTTTTACCTTTTTTGGGGTTGGGCCCCCCCCCCCTGGCGCTCAAGGGGGGGTGCAAATTGAAATTTTTTTGAGGACAAAAAAAAAAAGTGCTCACTACCCCCCCCCCCCCCCCCCCCCCCCCCCCCCCCCCCCCCCCCCCCCCCCCCCACTGAGCGAATTTTTGGCCGGCGCGTTTTTCAAATTTTCGGGAGCAAAAAAAAAAAAAAAAAAAAAAAAAAAAAAAAAAAAAAAATGGTGCTCTGTACTACCCCCCCCCCCCCCCCCCCACTGAGCGACTTTTCGGCCGGCGCGATTTTCAAATTTTCGGGAGCAAAAAAAAAAAAAGTTGGGCCCCCTCCCCTAAGAAATCCTGGATCCGCGCCTGTCCCTTAAATACGATATTGCCTCTAGTACCGTATGGCCTCTAGAACCAGATGGCCGTTAGAACCATATTGCCTCTAGTACTTCCACTACCACCACCCTTCCTCTACTACCAGCCTACCTCTACTTCCAAGCTGGATCTACTACCATTTTATATCCAAATCGATCCATTCTCTACTACCAACCTACCTATACTACCACCCTACCCGTTCTTCCATCCTACATGTACCTTTACTACCATCGTACCCGTTCTTCCGTCCTACCTCTACTACCACTCTACCTCTACCACCACCCTTACTCTACCACCATCCATCCTATACCACCATCCAACCTCCACTACCTCTCTTACTCCTACTACCACTCTACCTCTACTTCCATCCTATAACTCTGTCAACATTCTACCTCTGTCACGGTGTCACCATCCTACCTCTGCCACCATCCTACCTCTAGTACCCTTCTTCCCCTCTACATCCTATACGATCATGCACATCCTACCTATACCACCACCCTTCCTCTACCACCATCCAACCTGTACTACCTCTCTTACTTCTACTACCATCCTACTTATACTACCACTCTTCCTCTACTTCCATCCTACCTCTGCCACCATTCTACCTCTGTCATCATCCTACCTCTAGTACCGTTCTTCCCCGCTACATCATATACGATCATGCACATCCTACCTCTGCCACCAGCCTACATCTACTACCACTCTACCCATTCTACCATCCTACTATCATTCTACAGCACTAACACCCTACCTCTTCTTCTATCCTACCTCTACTACCATTCTACCTATAACACCATCCTACTTCTACTGCCACTCTAAACGTTCTTTCATCCTACCTCTACTACCAGACCACGACTACTACACCCTACCCGTTCATCCACCCTACCTCTACTACAATCATACGTCTACTCCGCACCCTACCCGTTCTTCCATCCTACCTCTACTGCAATCCTACTAGTTGGTATATATATATATATATATATAACAGTCGCTCCATAGAAAACGGTATATGCTGCTTGTTATGTGATAACGTGTAATAAGGGAAGTGTATTTCATCTCGACCGTTCTGCAAGTGAAAATAATGCCGATGAGACGTGAAATTTTATTTCACACTTTTTCAATCAAATAATGAACAAAAATTTGGTCATTTTAAAAATTTATACTTTTATAAGACGAGTTTAACAACACAGATGCCAACACAAAAGTTATGAAAAGGACAAGACAAAGGAAATTTTATTTGCCAAAAAGGCATCATTAAAGTCAAATATGACTTATAATAGCATTAAAACCCCCATTAAAGCGAATAAGACTTATAAAGTGTTTTACTAAACAACATGACTCGTTATTTTAACGCTACACATTATTGTCAATAGGAATGATTATGCACCTAAATTATTGAACAATATTTTGCCGTAATTTGTTTCATTAAAATAAAAGAGAGAGAAATGTCAACACCTATATTTCTGAGTTAAAATTATGATGATACGTACATTTTGTACTCTTCATGTGATTACATTTTAATTATGAGACATATTTGGGTACACTTTAAAAACTGAAATGTTAAATCACCATTTTAAAGGGCCGAGGAGTGACCACTCTTTCCAAATGGTAGATTAACATTTTAAACATGCTGGATCTAACACTTTAAAGGTTGAATCTAGCAGGTTAAAAGAAACAATCTGACATTTTGAAAGAGTGGTCACTCCTCGGCCCTTTTAAATTGACATTTGACAATTCAGTTTTTAGAGTGTACATTGATACGCGTAAATGAATTGTTAGACATGTGGACCCTCATAATACATCAAATAATTTTTCTTTCTGAGGTAAAAATAAAATGAATTTCATCCTTTCGTTAACTTTTAACTTGAAGCACCATTTTGCTTTCGCTATAACATGTTTATCAAGACAAGTTGTGATGTAGCAGTGCAGAATGAGCACTGTCTTTTATATATGCGATCAAAATACAACATCGTACATGTGTAACTTGATTGAGAACCATAATTGTTTGAAAGGGAGAAGAACAAAACGAATTGGGAGTGGGGGTACAAATGCAATGGGGGAAAGCAATTTGATTTTTCATCAGACATAATAACAGAAAACTCTACATTCTATTAGTAACTACAGCCATATCCTTTTGGGGTAGATTAGGCTTATAAGTTGATCCCATTATCATTAATCCATTTCAATAATACCTATCCGATTATCTATTTAAAAACTTCCTAACGCTTTGTTCAACCAAAGCAGTAATCAAATATTCACCTATTCGTAAAAAAGGAATAGGAGCAGCTATTTACATCTAAATCCATACAATCCTTATAAGTATATACATCAAGCAGTACAAAATATCCATCTTGTCATTAAATAACAACATCATTGAAATCATCAAATAAAAAATGCGTCGACCTTTGACATGAAAATACATTATCAGGCGTGATTGGCATATTCGTACGCTTAAAGGTATAGACCAGTTTTGGAAACGCCCCCTCCCAAAACAAGAAATGGAAGCTCTTATTACCAATCATGTGAAAGAATGTGTTTTTAGTAATACGTGATGATACACATTTTGCCGGGGGACCGCCTACCAATTGAAACATTTGGTAATTGATCCGGCCTGGATAGATATCGCGAATGCACTTCAACATTGAACATTTGGGCATATTATATTTCTGCTTTTTTGCAAATTTAGGATGAAGTATTGCCATCGAAACCTTTGAAGGCAATAATTACACAATATTGAATGGATATTTTGCACCCAAAACTCTTGAACCGCAATTTTACCACTATCGGTTTATATCTTTAAGCCCGAGATCCATACAAAAAACCTTTCTAAAGACCGTTTCGACATGACGCAGAAGACCGCCGCAGTAAATGAAAGGTAAATATGCGCAACAAAGGTCCTGCGCGTATTCAATGAGCTCGATGATATAAGATAAGGAAATGTGGAGCGTATAACACTTTACGTCATCATAACAAATTTTTAAAAAAAACCGTGCTTTTGCCGCGTCATATCTGAACGAGGCTTAAGCTAGGGTCACATCTCAGAGCGGAGACCGACCGATTTGAAGCCTGCTCGGTCGCCGCTGGAATGTATGCATCGCCCACGATTTTTGGAGAAGTCGAGCAGGCTGTAGATCCCCAGCGATGCCTGGACGGTGCCCTGTCGATTTCCCGTCGGTCACCGGTCGATTTAAGGGTCAAAACTGGGCAAAATCGGGGAGCTTCTCCGCGCGGCGTCCCGACAGTGACCGACTGATGACCGACCGATTCCCGCGCAGTCTCCCATCGGCCACCTGCTGATGTTAAAGAAATTGCCCGGCGGCCGGCCAGTGATCAGCGGGGCATCTGCGGGTGTCTCGTAGGCCAAAATACGCTCGGTGCCCGGGCGGCAACGCCGTCGAGCGATTTAGGTCATAAATAGAAGCCGCTAGGTGTAAGGCTGCCGAGCTGGCGCTGCCCGGACGCCTACCGAATTTTGAACTCGCCACCCAGTGACCAACTGATCTCCCAGCGGCGATCGGGCGGCGACCGGGCAGCCTTTGACCTAGCGGCTTCGATTTTTGACCTAAATCGCTCGACGGCGATTGCTCGAGCGTATTTTGGGCGGCGAGTGCAAAGTGAGCAAGCGCTGCCCGACTTTAAACTACGCGCTGAAACTTCAGCGGGGACGGGCGCTGCCCCGGCGGCTGCCTATTGGTGCCCGGGCGAATTGGCTAAAAACTAGCCACCCGGCCGCCAAGCAGGCTCTTTTGGGGGTTTGTGACCATAGCTTAAAGGCCAGTTACCAACAAAGTGCCGGTGGCTGACACCGTCTTTAATACGCAAGCTTAAAACAACATGTGTGTGAAGGGCATAGGCCTTATGTCGTCACTAGTAGTGATCATCAAAGATTAGATATGCTTAATATTTGAATACATTTGGAACCAAGCATTTTGATTATTATCGTCATCTGTTAACCAGAGTCTATAGTCTTTCACTAGAATGGATGTAACCCAATTGGATTTCCTCTGGTCTGCTTCTACAATCAACAGCGTTTTTTCGGCGTGTCATTTCTGCGTTGCGTTTCTTGCATTTTTATTTTATGCAAGAGTCCCTCGGTCCAGCTTCTAGAGTCTGTCATAAAAGGTCTGAATTCACAAAGATTTAATTTTATACCACGGACAAAAACATGGTTTAAACGTCCAATGTGGATTAATAAGAGTATACAAGCGTAAATTGCTCGCTCATTGGACAAGAGAACGCGCTGGTTTACGCTCATGAATGTTTGAACCGTGGTCTGGATGGTGTATCATGAGTCTCGTTTTTTTGCTTCAAGTCATTGAGAAGTCATAATATCAGCAAGACACTTCATTCTCCGTGTACGATTCATAGATCTCATTATCCACCATTTCCATGTCATCACCAGCAGCAATGGTTGTAGATGTCACGTCATCTATTGGACCGCTGCTTTCTTCGGATGGAATGATAGTAGAAAGTGTCCCTTCTTCACCTGTCGATGATGCATGGCTTTGTCCTACAGTACGACCTGTTCGATCGACTAACGGCCCACCGTGAGCGGCCATCGTTGACGATGTGTGTGCTGGTCGACCGGACACAAGAGGCGTACGGGCATCATGTCGACGTTGAGCTGGACTACGAGCCCCACCGTCGCCGTTAGGATCAGGGAATAGACTATAATAAAAATGCTCGCTTATTTCACTCATTGGACGCATAGTTGATGCACTCGTATCTAGGAGAATAGTTGACATTGTTCGGTCATGTGACACATCTGGATGCGCAGGAGTGGTTGATCTACTACTTAACTCGTGACGTAACATTTCTATCTCTGCAACAGAGAGATGTTGGCTTAGTGTACGTATCCTTCTCATATGTACTGCATGTAGAAGGTTTTTGAGTTCTCGAACGATAGGAAAAGTTCTACTTTCTCTTCTAGTTGGTAGTCTAGGTCTTTGTTCTGAGAGTGAGCTAGCCCTGGTGAAGCTAGCTAGTGAGATACGATCACCATTCTTTGATGCTAGGTCATGACGATCCGACATAGTTAGAAGCTCAGCAGCTGTTCCTGATGAAGATGCACGACTACCATCGAAGTTAAGCGTCATATAACCTTCCCTTTCATTACCATGACGCTCCACATCTCTGTTATAGTAGGATGGTCCATGGTAGACGATGTGTGATGGGTAATGGTTTTTCCTGTAATACGATAGAAAAGGGCAGAAAATTAGGATTATGTCTATTTCTTGTTTCCTTTAAAATAACATCTTCTCCTTCAAAGAAATATGCTCTTCCTAAATACTCCTCAAGTAATACTCCTAACTCTCAAACGCTAACATTACTTCGCGTGTACTCTTTATACGAGGACGGTAATGGTTTACTCTAGAACGACCTTTTTCTCGCAGACTATATTTATTCTATCATTTCATGAGTTGTCATATTTATAGACTTAATGTAGAAAATGCTCAGCTAAGTAGGCCAGTTCTTAATATTCCTTGAATTATTAAATGATAAACGATATTATAAGAAAGTAAGATATTAGAGTGTCACTTCCTGTTTGGAAACAAAATCCGCTAATCGTTGATATCAGTCATTAAAGGTCCTTTGACTCCGAAACCATACGTTTGGTTTTTATAGACATCAAACGATTATTAAAATATTAAAGCACCCAGCAGAATAAAACGGGTAACATATACTAAATGCAAATTATGGGGGGGGGGGATATGACCCTAGGATTCTACGTTTGGATATATATATATATATATATATATATATATATATATATATATATATTGTAGAAATCTGTGTCATAACATTCAACTTCATGATGAAACTCAACTGTATTGTTATGTTTCTATATAATATATTTTCGCTAACGAATACAGGACTATAATTATCTGGAGGATGTTAGAAGGTTCTTGTGTGATAAGATCTTTGTCGATGCGGAAGGGATGTTCGAAGACGGCCGAGGGCAATACTTCAGCCCTCTCCCACCCTGCCTGGCCTATGATATATCCTGTGTTTCTGACAGGTCTGTGGATGGTAAGGGGGTAGCGATGAACCCCTCTGAAAGCTACCCGCTCTCGGTCACACATCCTGGGTGAGGATGCAGATCTAAATCCTACCCTTAACTCGACCTCTAGACAGGCAACCAGGCACTTCTTCCAACTTCATAATTGCATTATATAGGTTATGGCACGCGTTATGACACGCTAGGCAACTACATTGTTATTATTCTCCTCCTTTAATCTCTTCTTCATAGAGGTGTTGTGGACGAGTGGATAAGTCGCCGGACTGTGGATCACAAGGTCCGTGGTTCAAGTCCCGCCGCAGCATTAATGTCCTTTGGCAAGAAATTGATCTACATTTGCCACTCTCCACCCAGGTGTTAAATGGGTACCCGGTAGGATGCGAAAGCTAATGTGGTTAGATAGATTAGCAAGTGTGCGCATATAAAAATGACGCCTGGCTGGAATGCTCCCCAGGGAGTGGAGAATGTGCATACATTGTGTGCGGGTAAGCCTGAATCCAATGACCGGGGTAATAATATACTTATCTGTAAAGCGCTTTGTGAGTGCCTTCGGTCCTGAAAAGCGCTATATAAAAACGAGCTATTATTATTATTTATTATTCTTCTATCTATCATACACTAGCCCATTTCATTTTTTTGTTCTATTGATTCATTCATTTATTCATTTATTCATGTTTTTTTTTTTGGGGGGGGGGAGGTGGGGGTTGGGGTTGTGGGACACAGTCGAAGCGTACCTCTCCCATTTCTGAAACCAAAGTGATATCATTTTAGAACACAAATCCAAAAAACGTGCATCCTCTTTTCAGGTGATGATTTATTTTGTTTGTTGGCAATTTGTAAGGTATGTTTGCTTCTCTTGTACAAAATTCTGGCTCTGCGTTTGCATTTTATTTCCCATGTTCAACTTTCCTTCTGATCCCATTGCAAAATGAACTAACACTTGCACATTTTTCTTAACAGAGAATTAGTACCTACCTTCGCTGATTGCAGACTTTGTAATGGATTATAACGGTGACAAGCAGCATGAGACAGGTAGCAGCGAAAAGCGCAACAGCTACGGTGACTAGACTTACTGGAAGGAAAGATAAAATGAAGGTTACGATAAAACAAGGGCACATAATGTCTAGTTTTGAATGAAATATACGCCTATCTTTAGTTAAGAAATCGAAAACATGGCCAGAGAATTCTAGCATAGCAAATCACCATACATATGTTGGCATTCTCGATAATGATACAGTTTACCATTGTTATAATCAGGAATTGTCAATTAACTAATTTATAAACACGTATACTGCTTCCATATCTCCATACAGTGAATGTCGCCATCTATTGTTCAGTAAACTATAGTTTTTATCTTTTTTATGTCGAAGATAAGTTTAAAGGAAACCAAAACCTTCATACTAAGTTACTTTTATTGTAAAGTTTAAAAGATTTGAATAAAATCAGTGAAAATTTGAACAAAATCGGGCAAGGAATAAGGAAGTAAGAGCTTTTTGAAATGACTAGTCACTAGAGGGCGGTATTCAATTTGATGACATCATCTGTGAACAGCTCTCCATGCCTTTTGTACATCAAATTTCACAATTGTTTTTGTTTTCTTCGTATTTATTTGTGTTCTTGATCCGACTTCATAACATGTGAAGTAGAATATCATTTTGCATTTTATATCTTGCTTTCGGGGGAGTACATTATCTCAATCACAAGAAAGAAGGAAAAACATGAAATTTGATGTACAAAAGGCATGGAGAGTTGTTCACAGATGATGTCATCAAATTGAATACCGCCCTCTAGTGACTAGTCATTTCAAAAAGCTCTTACTTCCTTATTCCTTGCCCGATTTTGTTCAAATTGTCACTGATATTTTTCAAATATCTTAAACTTTTCAATAAAAGTAACTTAGTATGAAGGTTTTGGTTTCCTTTAAGATCAGTTTAATAAATCTATATAATTCTTATAACCTTGAACTTCCAGGATGGTATAAATATCCACATTGTAGTTATTTTAGTTTTAAATTAGTAGCTTTCCGGAATGGTATTCCAAGGAATCCAAGGAATAGTTATATTGTTTCACGTAGCACTTACTCCTGGAGCCCTCCTTTATCTTATTTACATAATGATCCAAACTTCAAAAGAGTTTCATAACAAAATAACCTAAGACAATGCCAAAAGGTGTGTACGTTATCTTTTGAAATTTTCCAACATGGCAATGACGTATTACATGAACCAGACATTATGTGTTATGGAATAAACTAAAAGACATTGAAATTCCCCGTTGATTTCTTGAAAGTCTTTGCGATCGGATTTTTAGTACAATGTGCATTGCATGGACTTGTTTAAAATATTATATCTTATCTGTATTCCAAATGTTTGTTAGGATATGTGTCCAAAAGTGAATTCAGAATCAAATCAAAGCGATCAAATTAAATCAGATCAAATAAAATCACATGAAATCATATCAAATTATATCAAATCAAATCGAATCAAATCAAATCGAATTAAATCAAATCAAATCAAATCAAATCAAATCAAATCGAATCAAATCGAATCAAAACGAATCGAATCAAATCAAATCAAATCAAATCAAATCAAATCAAATCAAATCAAATCGAATTGAATTGAATTGAAGCAAATCAAATCAAATCTAATCAAATCAAGATAAACTTACACGCTATGTCTGGATCTACATCCTCAGTTCCTGGTCCTATTGGTGGATGTTCACCGTTAGGATAGAGTGTGATACCACCTGTTGAAGCCCCGTTGGAGCTCCGAGGGGTAAAACCACCTGGTTCGGTACCCTTAGGATTCATCGGTTTACCTGCTGTAGGCTTGGCTAGAGGATGATACAACAAAGAAGGAGAATAAATGAGATGAAGACGAGTACTGCTTATACATTCTCATTATGAACAAAAAAAGGAGTTATAGGGGTAATCCGAAATGGGCTTGATTTCGCCACAAATTAGGTTTTAGAGATGCAATTGAGTTTTATGTGGAGTGTTACCATTAACGATCGGTCCGACCATACATATGTCTCTCCTTTGTCTAGACCTCGTTTAAATCCTGTGCCAAATTAGTCAAACAGATATTCTTTATTATCGGTATAAAATATCACAATTAGAGATATAGAGAGATAGAGAGACAGTGAGTGAGAGAGAGAAATATATAGATAGAGAGATAGAGACACAGTGAGTTAGAGAGAGAATGTAACTGGTAGAAGGGGTGGGATGAGGAACGGGTGAGAGAGATCGCAGAGTACAGAAGTGGTCTTTTATCTTTAAGCATCCATACTCTCAGTCTGGACTGTACATTTTCCCATTCTTACCAAGTTCGTGACCGCCATCAAAACTTTGCTTTACCTTCCTTACCTACCAACATGAGCGTCTTGTTTTCTTCAATGTTCTTAGTGAAACACCGGGTACACCTCTCGCTAAATTTAGATTATGACTTCCCTACAGGTGCATGTTCCTTTTCCTCCTTCTGATTTACGTTTTTTTGATTTCCCCCACTCACCCTGACTCATGTGATAGTATCTGCTGGGGATCCCAAAATTAAGCAATTCACTGTACCCGTGTGTATTAGCCTGCAGTAGGCATGAGCGGCTCTCAATGTTGTCTGCAATACAATACCGAAGTTACCATGGATTCGTCCTTGTAGAGGTAGTCATGAACTTGATACTAGTTTATGCACAGTCCAGAGAGTATACACACGAAATCATTCAACATCCTCTCCCAGATCCCCCCCCCCCCCCAGCCCCCGCCCCCGCCCCCGCCCCGCCCCGCCCCGCCTTTCCTATCAAAACACCTTTGCGCACTCTCATAAACGGAATTCATGAAAAACAATGCAGATTGCAATGTATTCAAGCGCTTATTATCAAAAGGATTATACCCGTTTTTCTCAACATTTTGACCCAACTTGCCAATAAACAGATACTAATGATTCTAATAATATTCTGGGTTATTGTTATGTCGCCTAATTCATCAACAATATCTCTAAGCGTATTTACAGAAAATGAAGTGCAAGATACATACTGCCATGGTAACAACAGAAATATGAAGTCTGGGGCTCTGGGATATAAATGCGTAATGTTACTATATTTGGCTAGACCTCGCATGAGTGTACATTAAAGATAAACTTTAGTACTGGTAATGCGATTGCATTGTGAAAGAAAAGGTGTGGAAAGGATCAGAAACAGTTGATCATGTAGCATGTAAGTATTGGTGAGCACTGCAAGGTTCTGGAGTCATCAAAATCATAATAAATTTGACCGAGTCTTGGTAAAGTAACAAGCACTCACATAGAAAGCTATATATGGGACAACACACATGGTGTCGGGGCTAGTACTACCTTGATTTCCTTGTATTTCTATGCTCATTACTCAGCCAGTATACATTTCTTCCAAAATTGTTTGGCACATGTCATTTATTTGTAATCTTGAACATTCAGTGTAAGTTTCGTTTGATTCTGTGAGAATTATTTTTTTTTTTTTTACCTGTACTGGAGTTTATCTTTAAGCACAAGTTTGAAACACGCTTACTCGTATGTAAATATAATGACAGGTGATTTTGAACATGAAGTTACTTTTTTAGGGGGATAGCTCAGTGATCGAGCGTTTTCTTTTTTAACCAGGGTCCCAGGTTCGAAATCATGTTAATGCGCTTTTGCAAAAGGGAACTTAATTTGCTAAGTAAATCGGGCATGTCGGAGAGGACATTTGAAAGCCATAGTTCCAATGACTGCCTCTTTTCTTGCATAAGCATATAATTTAATTGCACTCTTCGTGTTCTTAGCAGTCCGATTTTATTAATGATATTATAGTTTAGAGTAATATCCCTTTCCATATGCAAAGTGTCTTCACGATTTTTAGGGGGAAGAACAAAAATCAATGATCAAATTGAATGTATTTCGTTTTTTTTAATTTGTTGGTGTCTACGCGTAAGCCATGCAGAAGCAAATCAGGTTGTGCTAGCCAAAAATTGAAGAAGAAATGTATATTTCTCTTTCGATGTCTAGTTTAACCGTTATGTAGGACATTACTAGATTTTATCTCAAACAAACCATGTGCCAAACGCTTTCGATGACAATATGAGCAATACGGGCCAACCTCATAATGTGTGACTCATTAATTCAAAATATACAAGGACGGTGCAGCTTAAGTAATTTATTAAGGGGCAACCTCTCTCGACATTTTAAAGTTGCTACGATTACATAGCACTTTTTAGTTTCTCCTATCCTTGAACTAGAAATGATAGCACGTTACACTACACATATTTTTTTAAGAGTATTCCTGTGGATGCAGCCCCTCAATCCATAAAGATCGTAAACATCGAGAAATGAACCTAGTGCTATTTCAATAGCTGTTGGCCATTAAATAATTTACAACCTAACACGCGATCATATTTCGAAATTTCACAGTTATTTCACAAAACCAACTATACTTGCTTTGTTAGACACTTATATCTGTGACTTTAGTAGGACTAGGAGTAATAGTAAGAACGCTTGTAGAAGCAGTAGTAGTAGTAATAGTAGTAGTAGTAGTAGTAGTAGTAGTAGTAGTAGTAGTAGTAGTAGTAGTAGAAGTAGTAGTAGAAGTAGTAGTAGTAGTAGTAGTAGTAGGAGTAGTAGTAGTAGTAGTAGTAGTAGTAGTAGTAGTAGTAGTAGTAGTAGTAGTAATAGTAGTACTAGTAGTAGTAGTAGTAGTAGGAGTAGTAGTAGTAGTAGTACTAGTAGAAGTAGTAGTAGTAGTAGTAGTACTAGTAGAAGTAGTAGTAGTAGTAGTAGTAGTAGTAGTAGTAGTAGTAGTAGAAGTAGTAGTAGTAGGAATAGTAGTAGTAGTAGTCGTCGTATTCGTAGTAATACAAAATACAGGAAAAGCCACGGAGCAACTCGAAATAAAATTGTATTGTTGTAGACATAACTATCAGAAGCCTATATTGTGTGATTGTCTATATCAAAATGGGTTTTTGTGTGTCTACTTCACAATGCCTTCCAATCAACTATGGAAACTGCATAGAAAAGTTCAGGGTTTCACGAAAAAGTCACCCGTAACCCATTGGAATGTGTAGATTATTTTTTAACACGTATTTCCAAGGGGGTATCAGTGAGCTTGAACTTCTTACTGTTTTATGAAACAATGCCCAGGTCCTTAAGGAAAATAATGACGTGCCAATTGTATTTGTTTATAGGCAACACGAATGCATTCATGCTGTATTCTGCCAAGTATATTTCATATGAATTTTATTGCCTGAAAGTAGGAACAGATTGAAATTCTTGTACTACTATCAGAGGTACCATCTGATCATCGTGTGAGGAATTTCCTTCTTTCCTGTCCTTTGAGAATATAGTTCAGAGAGAGATAGAGAGAGAGAGAGAGAGAGAAGTAAAGGAAGGGAAAGGGAGGGGAGTAATCGGGGGGGGGGGAGGGGGGAGTGTGCCACTTCTTCGCGATGTCTCACCCCCCCCCCCATCATTCCCTAATTTCTATTTTAACAATAAATAATCATTTTGTAATTGTTTCTACATAGACCTACCAGGTAGGTCTATGGTTTCTATAGGGCATTAAACTCATCTTTTCGTCTTACATAGTAATTGAGAATGCTGGTAATTTCATACTAAAAGATAATTGATCATTGAAATTGCAAATATAGAAATATCAATTGATATACTGTATATTACACTACAGATAAGCATGATAGGTGGGGAAACACATTATACTCTCTCCCTCCTCCATCATCTTTCTCCCCATCTCTCTCTCTCTCTCTCTCTCTCTCTCTCTCTCTCGCTCTCTCTCTCCCTCTCTCTCTCTCTCTCTCACAGGCTTAGTCTAAACTGTGTAGACCAATCTGGAGATTGTCATATATTTCATACCGAGAAATCTCTTGTAAAATATTATAGATGTTTTAAAACATAATAATTACAAGGGCAACCTCCCACTATCATGTTTTGAGATTTGGTGTATTTCCAAATGTACCAAAAATAAGGATGATTAATGTTGCCGTATAATATTTACATACATGTATAAATCCTAGATAAATATATTCTTTATCAAACAATGCGGCCAATCGAAACACGAAATGATTTGTTTGTGTCTGTGTTTTGCTTTGTTAGTATTTTGTTTTGTTTGTTTGTTTGTTTGTTTTGGAAACAATATGAGAGATTTTCGTATTGGCGTGGTTCTCTTTAAAGGCCCACTGCACTACTTGTAGCTGCTTGCGCCCTCTATATAACAAACCATGCCTAATCGGTGACCATTTGTCCCCCATGATCCTCTTTTTCTTATGTTAACTGAGAGCTGAGTTGATGAGATAACCACCTGTCCAGTAACCTTGCAGGGCAGTCTAATCCCTCCTGTTAATTATGGCAGATACGCTTTATGAAGTTTTTGTTTAAAGGTAAAGACCAGTAATGGTCATGCGATTGCATTGTGAAAGAAACGTTGTGGAATCGATCAGAAAAGGTTGATCATCTAGCATCTAGCATCTGCAAGGTTCTGGAATCATCAAAATGATAAGAAATTTGGCCCATTCTTCGTAAAGTTACAAGCACTATACACAGAAAGATGTATATGGGACTACCCTATCTCTCTCACCAGACCATGAGAGAAATAAATTTACCAAATATATGAATTAGTAGGCGGTTTCCCGGCAAATTTTTTATCATCATGTATTAGTCAAAACATATTCTTTCACATGATTGGTAATGAGAGCTTCCATTTCATTTTTTGAAATTGGGGCGTTGCCAATACTGGTCTTTACCTTTAACGATGATGAAAGAACAAGTTGAGAAAGGAAATTGTGTTTCTAAGGTTGATTTGTTTTGATGGGAGGGTAAATGAACATGGGTAAACAGGCAATATCAGGGCTATCTACCCTAAACCGTTACTTAGGCTAAACATGTAATAATAATAATAATAATCCGGTTTTTTATATAGCGCTCAATACACCGATCCAACGATGTACCTAGGCGCTTTACAGATTTATTATTACCCCGGTCATCGGATTCAGGCTTACCCGCACACAATGTGTGCACATTTTCCACTCCCTGGGGAGCATTCCAGCCAGTCGCCATTTTACAGGCGCACACTTGCTCGTTCAACCACATGAACGTTCGCATCCTACCGGGTACCCATTTAACACCTGGGTGGAGAGTAGCAAATGCAGGTAAATGTCTTGCCAAAGGATATTAGTGCCGTGTCGTATGGTAACGTAATACCATAACCTATGTACTTATGTAGTTATCTTTTTGACATTGAACTTAGTAGAAATAGTGATTGATCAATTTGGGTCCAGCTGATTGAATTTCATGGATGTTTCTTTCAAGAACACATAGTAACGAACTATTCAAGTCATGTACAAAAGTGGCGTACTCAGAGACTGATAAACAGGGGGGGGGGACGCGTACAAACCGTAGAAAATATTGTTTTTGAAGTTCTCGAGGTCTCTTCCATTTTCTTGTTGGCCTGTAAAACTCCATAGGCGGATGTTTATTCGTTATATATGGAAAAAGATCTTTGAATGGGAAAACCAACGTCGCAATGTAAGTATTTTGTCAGGCAATTTTTGTAATGATCCGTTAAAATGTATATTTGTTAGAAATTTGGGAACTTTAAGTAGAGTATTATACTTACTGGTGTTGAACCGATCTGTAACGTCGACGTCATCAATAGCTAGGTCGCTGTCTTTAGCACCTATCACACCCTCGAAAATGATCTGGGAAAATGAAAAACAAGTTATAATAACGATTATTATTATTATCATTATTAGTCATTATTTAGTCTTCTTCATCAACTAGCAGGTGTAATTGTAAGAAAGGAAAACAGTTCAACGTTAAAACAGGAAAACAATCAATCCAAATAGCAATCGATCAAACTACAAATGGCTTTAGTTGTAATAACAACATGAGGCGGGTGTCTTGCACTTAGGATAAGTAGAGTAGAATTACATACTTTGAAGTAGTTAATATTTTATAAGATGCAAACCCAAAATAGGTTAAGTTTTAAAGATTGGAATTCTGTTCATGACATGCTCCAATTCAAATGAATACCCAACTTAATCCATTAACCATGATTTGCAGTTATCGCTAGGTGCAAAGTGATATATTGGATTATGGGCTCCTATATAGAAATTGGAGTAACGTTTATTAATTTGATTATCACTTTGAGAAATGCATGAGTAATAGCGGCATGATATGGTCAATGGCCGAAGTAAAGGTACGTGTACTCTTCATCTCTTGCGAACAACCCAGTGATTATGATATCCTAGTATAGACATGGTATAGATATACGATATGACAGGTGTGAGATCTGACCTGTCTATAAGCTAATCGTTCAAGGTAGTTAGAGACTGACACGCTTCATGTAATGTGTAGTACGTGACTATATTCTGTAAACAACGAATCCGATTGAACAGAAGGGTGTTCAATCAATATATTGTCATTAAAAGCTCTGCGTTGAGGTATGTACTATGATATAATTTCAGTTTACAATCCATGTGAAAAACAGATCAGAGCTACAAGGCAGAATTGGAGCGAAAGCTTGACGTCTTGATAGCCCATACACCGTAAGACATTAATGGGTTCCTGAAAAGGTAAAAGTGAATTCACCATATACATGTAATAAAGCTAATTACCTACATAATTCAATAGTACGTGTATGTATCCATGAATGGAACTAATGTTACTACACTCCTTAAACCTACAATTCTCAACACACATGCACTCACCCAGGTTACTAATAGCAAATTTCTCGGTATTATAATTGATGACCGTCTGGCATGGAAATCCCATGTTACATAATTATGTTAGATGGTGTCACGTAACACCGGTGTCATTAATAAAATTAAACATTTCTTCCCACAGCCCACCCTCTACTCTTGTCATATCCAATTTTAATTATGGATTACTGGCATGGGGCCACTCTATCAAACAAAACCTCAATAAACTCGTACTACTACAAAAAAAGGCTAATGAGAATTATATGCCACAAAAGCTATCGTTCTCATACTAACACTCTCTTTTATGATACGAAGGTCCTACAAACGGATGAAGTATATTTGTATAATCTCGACTGTTTTATGTACCATTTGGAGAAAAGGGAATCAGTTACCAGAAAACTTGTTGCAAATCTTTAGGAAAACAATGAAGTACACAAGTACCCCACTAGACAATCAGGTCAATTTCATCTACCACAGACCTGAACCGTCACTGCTCAAAAGACTGTTATATAATTATACCGGACCACAGCTATGGAACTCATTAAATGATATTACACCAGCTCCTACCAGTTTTTAATTTAAAAATAGACTTAAACAATACCTTCTAGATAGAAACAGTTATTAAAACGACAGCATGTACACAGAAAACAGCTTTTGGAACAATTATTTAAAAAAAGAAAAGAAATATAAACCAATTAGTAACATAAGCTCAAAACATTGCAAAAGTAACCGTAATGTCCCGTTCTTCATGCTTCATCTTCCATTCTCTCTTCCTCTCTCTCTCTCTCTCTCTCTCTCTCTCTCTCTCTCTCTCTCTCTCTCTCTCTCTCTCTCTTCTGCTAGGAAGTTTATCATTTGTTATTATTTCCATTATTTCCATTATATGTAATTTGTTTGTGCAGACACCAGTGTTAAAAACAAAATTTGTGTTTTGTAGCGTGGGGGGAGGGGGAGGGTGTAGGATTACCTTAGCATTTGTATACATATATTTGTTAACTATATTACAGAGCACGTGCAACTCTTTTTATTCTCAAGGGGACTATAAAATACAAGCCATGCTTTTTTAATAGACTCCTTCACTATGTTTTATTACTGTGCCAATTAATTTAAACAATTTTATAATCATTTGTAAAATGTTCTGTTAATATTATGTTATTGAATTTGTATATATTTCATATTCATTTGATTATGTTATATCATGTGTGGAGAAACAAAAATAGACAGCCAATTTCACATAAATGCTGTTTGTTAAAGGTTATGTTGATACGCTTATGCGTTCTATGACATGCCTCTTTTTTCCGCATTTTAATATTCAATGTTCTATCCTTTCATAAAAGATGCACTCCAGAAATTATAATCAATTAGCAATTATATTATACAACAATGAATAACATTGATGTATATAGCACTTGTATTGGATATAGCCGGAGTATCATGATGAATGATTGTATTGATCACTGAATTGTGATTGTGGATCGCACGGTTCCCGGTTCGAGCCCCACCGCGGCTGTAATGTATTTAGGCAATACAATAATTATCTACATTGCCTCACTCCACCCAGGTGAGTTAATGGGTACCTGGTAGGAAGAAATACCTTGAATGTTTGAGCACCTTTTCATGGTAGCTCGGCTAAATGATTGCAAAGCCCCCCGGGGAGAATATTATTGATACTGGTGAGGCTACCCTGTGTAAACTAGATCATATATTTTTAATGTTATTATTTGTTTTATTTTTGTCATTATAATCTGTGTTCAATAGGTGAGGAGTATTTGTCTAAGTCGTGGGCCCGTATAGTTATAAAAGCTTACTATAAAACCTAGTTGGGAACTAAAATACTCTTTAGCTGTCACCTAGGCACTGGTAGATATTCACAAAGCCTTACGAATGTTTAGTTTGCAACTAGGCCCTATTCGTGAAGGCTCGTTACAGCTAAATGGTCCCTAGTAGTCAAATTTATCTATTTAGTTGTCAACTACATCGAAATTGTATTCCTAAAACCCGACTAAAGTAAGTCTAAATTTCTCCCCCAATCTAGAGTTAATGTAGAGTACATTTAAATAACTAGTTGGCAACTAGTCATCTCATCACCGACTATCAGAGGGGCAATGGTGGTCTGAACTTAATAGAAATGGTCGAGATTTGTCACGAAAAGGAAAGCGAGAGAGAATGTTTCAGGATAGAGGGAATCACATAGACATGCAGTGATGCAGAGTACCTTAGTGCTATAGATTTCCCTAGAAAGTTATCGTAATATCCATAATTTATATCTGGCTAATTTATCACTCGTTCCGTAATAAACATCATCTCAACTCAAGAGAAGATTTTTTTCTCTCCAGCCATTTTGACAATTATTTCGTTTTACCTCCCCACCCCCCCCCCCCCCTCCCCTCACAATCAAAAAGTGAACGCACTTTATCAATATTGTGCACAGTGCATTGATGTACTTGGACATTAGCCAGGGACCTACACAGCAAGAGATCCTGTAGGGTTACACGTATGGCGTCATTGACGTGTACTAAAGGAATATTACCCTAACATCACTAGCGCTCTTCTAATGAAGAAAAGACTTTCAATTTTAGTGTCAGTTTTATTTCCATTTCTAACAGAACAATCAATATAAACAATAATAATAAACAATCAATCGTGATGGACAAGCAAAATATGCAGATTATATCTTGCTAACGGGCAATGATGCTGCGGCTAAGATCTGAATCCGGGCCTTTCGATCTAAAGTTTATTTTACGTAAATTTTGACATCTTTTCAAGTACGTATTACAACAAATGATAAAATAAATAAGAGAGAAGAAGGCAGTGAACAAAGAAGTTTGAATATAGGAACGAGTTCATTGCAGTCGTAAGTGAAGTCGTATGTGATCTATAATGTACATATTCATTACAGGGGTATACTGAGATTAGATGACAATGATTCTCCGAAACAAAAGAAAAGGAATATTATTACGTCATATTGTGATTTATTTTCGTCAGATCAGTTCTTATTCTTACATCATTAATTGATCATGAACAATTCAGTGTTAATCGGATTATTTTTTTTTGTAATGCTTGACATTTCTTTAAAATTAATTAGAACCAGACGATCCCAGTTTCGTGTTCAATTTTGATGATTGTTCATTAAGGAGGCATCTGCTGAATTGCTTTCAAATCGAGGAATGAAATTTGTATTGGTATTTGTACTTCTTTTTTGTGATGTTGATTGTTATGATACAAAACTAGTATTATCATTATCATTAGTAGTAGTAGGTGTTTGGCGTCATACTCTTATACAAAAGTTATAAAGGGTTCCTAACGTGCAAAGGTGGTGACTCTCCTCTACACGGGGTCTCAATTTAACATCCTATCCGAGGGACGGATTGTTTTCACTGTATCATACATGCATAGCCAAGATAACCTCCGTCTATAAATCATGGGATGGGTACCTTAACACACAACGCTGGCTTCAGTCATCCGCTTGGGTGGGATTCGAACCCACGGCCTTTGGTTTGACAGGCAAACGCTTTAGCGACTGAAACAACTTTTATAATCATAAATAAGCCTACTTTGTATCAATAACTAGAATACAAAACATACGTGTAATGCGCGATTTAAAGGGCAAGGACGTTAAATTTACCCTATAAAATAATGAGATTTCAAATAACAGACATAAGCAAATCAATGGTAAAAGCAACTAATACTCACCCGCCAGAGAACTTTCCATATATCCATTTACCAAAATAAAGGCAATTAATATACCCTTGTCTCCACATAGTCTAATCAAATATCACCATAGGTTTTCCTCTAAGACGTAAGCTTTGCATTATATATTGCCGTTATGGTAGCCTATTCTTATGGTTTAAGAGGAAGGGAGTTAGTCGAGCCAATACACTAGAGACAGAGAGACGAACTCTTGAGTAAGGTAGCATGCGGTATGAAGCGAAGGGCACTGCGTTTACAGGAAACGACATGGCCTCTTATCGGGGAGAGGAAGAATATATCTTGCCGCTCCTAAAACCGTATTACTTCATCTCCTGCCAATACATGGCCAGGCTATAAATAAACTTGATCCAAAACGATGAGCTGATTTACAAGATTCATATGTTCCTCTTGGGCTTGAGATATTTGATTTGGGATTTCTCTTCAAATCCATTTTCAGGAAATATGGGTAATATCTCACAGTCAGGTGTTGATGACGTCACGCATATACTTTGATATCAGTTTCCTAGTTCTTATCTCTTGTATTTGAGTATCTTTCTAAATTGGGCGAAAAACGATGTGATGATGGATTTAACAATACAAATATATATATATATATATATAATATATATATATATATATATATATATATTATACAGTGCGTCCCAGAAAAAAAAAATGAGCAAGGAATGACAAAGTTCTGTTTGTTTAAAGTAGTGCTTGCATTTCCATAATTGTATTAAACGAATTCGTTTTCACTGGCTGCCTGCCGTATCAATAAACGTAATTAACAAAAAACTTAACTCCGTTTCGTTGACAATCAGCCGTAGACGAGAGTCTTCATGCATGGCTGATTGTCAACGAAACGGAGTTAAGTCTTTTGTCAAATCTGCTTTTTGCTACGGCAGGTACCCAGTGAAAACGAATTCGTTTGTTAAAATTATGAAAATGTAAGGACTACTTTAAACAAACAGAACTTTGTTATTCCTCGCTCATTTTTCCTGATTGAGGTGTCATATGAAAGGGCAGAAACTCAACTTTCTAGAAATGTGAATTTTTCTTCGAAATTCAGATACCGCCTGCCAAATGTCTTTTTGGTTTCCTTCCTTCAAATTGCTTTTAATCACTCATGCGTGAAATATGCATCATCTGAGTAGCATCAACTGAAAGAGGAGACTCTAAGCTTTCCAAATATGTATCATTCATTAATTATGGTTGTGATTAAGTTATGATAAAACATCACTACTTCTCGGTTTCGTTTTTTCTGGGATGCACTGTATATATATATATATATGGGGAGAAAATAGGAACCTTTTCTAAAACATTATTGTAGAGGAAATTCTTAAAATAGCACATTTTGTTTCATCAGTATTTTTGTTAGCATGGAGAATGAAGGTGGAAATGGCAAACCAATTTGTAATATACAGGATCTCGTTAAGGAACAGGGAAAATTGATTGATTGATTTTTATTCGACAAGCTTCCAACATACAATAATATACAATAATAACAGATCAAAAATAAGTCAGCTTGAACAGGATAACCCACGAAAGCTCGAGAGCTTATTTCCAGTGGGGTCTCTTACAGACATGTATAAAATTAATAAATTAAAATAGTAATAATTACAGACAGATAAGAAAATTAAAAGAACTACTTATTATAGATAATAATAATAATAACAACATTAAACTGATGATAAAAATGATACTAAGTACAAGAAGAAAAAGAAGAAGGAGAAGAAGAAAAAGAGGAGAAGGAAGAAGAGGAAAATAATGATGAATTTGTGGAATTTCTATAACGTACGAAAACATAAGTATATACAACATGAAAAAGTATGAACCGACAGAAGAATAAAAATTTCAATCATATAACATGTCATTCACTTCTCTTCTCTGACTGTCAAGTATTTGGTATTCCTTTAATTTCCTCTTAAAATGATCATAGTTTCCTATTTTTTTTACACCATTGGGAAGGGAATTCCAATGTTTTATGGCATTGTAATAAAACGAATTTCCAATACTACCTACTCTTTCTGGTAAGTTAAAGTTGAATCGGCTATTTCTTGTATTATAATCACGTACGTCAGTAACAATATCGAAGTTGGATCGAATATAACACGATTGTAGAAAAAGAATAGTTCCAAGAAAAACAGAAAGATTTAAGTTTAAGCTTTATACATAAAAATTACAAAGATTGAAAGAGTGATATGAGCCTTTACTTGAAAAACTAATATTTTTCATTTGAAACAGTAGCTATATAGTGAATGCTCAAATAATAATAATACTCAGTATTTATATAGCGCTTTATTACAATCACTAAGCGCTTCCAAACTTGGAGATTATTACCCCGGCTTTAGCTGTGCTGCCATTACTGCACTCTAGCATTTCAAAGAATTAATTCCTGCCAGTTACCCATTTACATCACCTGGGTTGAGTGTGGGAAATGTAGACCAATGCCTTGTCAATGGACATTAGGGCCGCGGGCGGGTCTCGAACCGTGGACCTTGTGATCGACAGTCCGGCGACTTAACCACTCGACCACGGCACCTCTACAAATGAAGAAAAGCGTTATGATTTCTTTTATTTCCCCCTAAACATATTGATTCACATTGGATGTTTTACATCTTAATTTTCGGCAGACATTGTGTCGAACATACTCACTCTGAAAGGTGAATCGCATGATATCCTGACAGTAGCCTTCACCCAGAAGTTGCCCAGATTAACTGATCTGCTCCACACCAGGTCTCGGTTACACCCATACACATTGATGGTCCCCTTGAAGTCGCTTGGTACAGGATCAAACATGTGGTAGTAGAAGGATAGTTCAGCGATTCCATCAGTGAGCTTGAGATGAGGGGTCATGATTCGAGCGTCACCACCGGTCGTGTTAGGAGGAGAGGCCAGTCTCGCGTAGTGTCCTGCAAGGGATGAGGAGTTAATAGAATCGTGCGTTTCTTTTGGTATGACGGTGTGTCGATTGGATAAAGAAATGCATGCCAGTAAATTCAATATCGAGAGGGTGATTTATGCTCACCATTTCTAATTCAGTGAACCCATGTACTGCAAGTCAGCTGTCAACTTTATTCTCATTATCTTCATTATCTTCGAGATGTGTTCAAAATGTCCACATTAAGAACTGAATTAGTGTGAAGCTACTTCAAAATGTGTTTTTAAGAGGATAGTTATTGTTGAAGGAGAGGTCCACCAGAACAGTTCAGTGAAAGTTTGAGCAAAATAAGAAAACTATGAATTTTGAAAGTTGCGATCAATCAAACACAAATGGGCCACTCTGTGACGTACTTTGCTAGGTGTCTTTCCAATTGCTCTATACTAAAAAATATCAGAACTTTATATTTTCCCGAGAGAAAATTTTGAATCAATATTTTCATAAATATTGCAGACATGTTTCTTTACAACCCCTGTATATGAAACAAATTTACTCCGTCATAAATAACTAAGAAAATGAGAGTTTATGAAATGTTCTGTACAAAGCAAATAAGTATGGACCTCGCAAGATACGTCAAAGTGTTGCCAATTTGTGTTTCAATGATGACAACTTGAGAAACCATAATTTTCCAATTTTTAATCGGATAATGCTCACTTTCACTTATTTTTGTATGTTTTTTTTCTGCTTTTACTCATTCCAGATAATTATCAGAGCGGACTGCCCCTGTAAGGTAGGCACTCGTTTATAATAAGGACATTCAACCAGTAGTTTTTTTAATGAGTATATTCTGAACTCTCTAAGACAAGAATACTATGAACCAGAAGTCTTAAGATGAAGGAAAAAATTACTAACGAATTACCAATAGATTCAAGATTTAGACGATGTTAACTAGCAGTTTAAGTTGCTGAGATTATAACCACTAGCTATACGATGAGGGTTTTGTTATCTATTAGTATTAGCTTTATGGTGTTAGGATGAAGATAGTCGTAATCATTCGCTTTAAGATGAGGATAATGTTAACCATAAGCCTTAATATGAGGGTTCTGTGAATGTTTTACTTCGAATCATCGAGTCATCGCGTCCGATGAGGTGGTCGTGTTACACGACCTTTCGTGAATCGAAAGCATGATCACGAGACCTTTCCTAGATTTGCTGTAGGGTTTTCAGAAAGTGTCGGGTAAATTAAACAAGACCATTTGTAGATGAGAGGGGTTCACTTCACATGCATTAGTCCCGAAATGTGGAGAATAAAGCAAGGGGCATGTTTTTACAAAGGGTCGGCTAACGTGACCACCCGACCCGACGCGATGACCAGGTGATTCGAAGTAAGCTGGGTACTGTTAATCATTAGCTTTAGGATGATGTTGGCGTTAGCAATTATCTTTGAATGAGGCACTGGTAGTATTAAGTTGAGCATAATCATGAGCTTAAATATCATAATGATAAGGGTTCTATAACATTTAGCTTCAAGATGAGGACACTGCAAACCCCTAACTTAAGAGATGAGGGTAGCGCTAACTATACTCATGGTTCTGTTATCCATTAGCTTTAAGTTGAGGGTACATGAAGAAAGGAAACTGCAGTTCAGGAAAAGGCAAACCACAATTTGACACACGCATCCCTAGGGGTAGGCGGGGAGGGATTAAAGCAGACACATGCATATGATTGATATAGAACACTGAACACTTTGTAGGCGTTATACACTCATACAGAGAAACCCAACATTGCAGAGGATGTACCACAATGCCCAAAAAGAAAACAACCAAAGTGACTATCTATTTATAGGTCCATGTACTGATATATGTGCTGTATACACTATACTTTCGTAGCTTAACCACAAGAAAAGTCCGTATCAATAGAATTCATTTCAACATCATTATTCGTAATCTTTGACAAATCACGTCAAATTGTATAGTATCCACCGATGAGATGAAAGGTTGTGTAAGTAGTAGTTGATTCAGTGCAACACGAAATGAATACAAGAATTATAAGCACAAAACTTCCTAGAACCTAATTTAAGAAAGACGATCCCATCCCATACTGTAACTTGTATTCATCTTTTAGTTTATTTGAACACCATACGGGCTATCATCTGCTCAATGCTTTTGATAAAATATGCTGACTTGGTGTTTAAAAAACCCAGCTCCTTTTGACTTTGCTCTCCTGGCTAATGCGAAGGTAAAGTCCAGGCAGTTCCATTGTAGTTTATGAGAGCACGAGTCCCCGCCCCGCCACCAGCGCAACCAAAAAGGTATTCCATTGTTGATTGTCCCAGTTTCTACTTATCAAAATGAAATCATTTACTCTTTATGTATTTTATTTCTTTGTTTTTCTTCTTCTTCTTTTCCTTTGCTCATCACCAATTTCGGAGACACAATAAGCCTCTGAAAATTGATTACCTCCGTTCTACTTCTGAGGAGGTTACTTGCTCGTCCGCGATTCATTTGACCTGTGACTTGTACCCATCCCCCCCCCCCCCCACATACACACACACACACCTTCAACAAACGAATTAAAAAGAATTCTGTATTTGCCAATGAGCAATATATAGGGCTGCACTAGAGAAGGAACTCGATAGAAATTCCCCGAAGATGATCAAGAAAAGAATTGATTGGTCATTGTGCGATAGTATACATCTATCAAGCACGTAATTCAGCCTGTGTATCCTGGCTTTCCTGTATAGCTGATGAGTGATAGGAGGTCATAGGATAATTATCACACGGCCGATCATCATTCAGTGCACTCTACCTCTTTTCATCTTTGATAAGTATTCAGTTTTGCAATATATTGATATTACCATGAGCTTTTGATGGTTATGATTAGAGTTTTTTCTCTCCAACTAGATTTCTATGATATCATATCCTGCGTATTTCATTCACTGGGCTAATTAAGTACTCCCCTCTCCATCTCTGTCTCTCTCTCTCTCTCTTTCTCCCTCCCTCTCTCTTTCTTCTCTCTCGCATTCTTCCTGCTATTTCTCCCACTATCCACACCCTATCTCCTCTGCAAGACAACTAAATGCATAAGCTACATATTGCACATGTTAAGTTAGATAATTATATTCCTTCATTGACTCATTGCCTTTGCCTATTCCATACCAAAATCTAATAATTGGATGTGTTTGCGTGAACGATTACTTCCAAATTAATTATCTCGCTGATGCTGACCTAGTATTGCCCTCGCGTCTAGAGTTGTGAAATGCAGACAGCAAATGAGTGAGGAAGGTTGAAAGGAAACATGGTTGTCATGGCAACACACATAATAACACATACGGGTGATGATGTACGATATGCGGAATGAGAACGCTACAGCACGATCAGTCATAATTATATGTTACAATGCTTTCTTCTCATTTTCCAAGTGCATGTGCATTTCTGTTGCTCATGGAAAAATCTCTAATTCTAGACAGATAAATAGAAAAGAGGAAGAATATATATATATATATATATATATATATATATATATATATATATATATATGTATATATTTATGTATTTATTTAAATATTATTTCATTTAATTATTCATTTGGTTATGAATCTATTTTTATTTTGTTTTATGTAGTTAATTAATTGTTTATGTATTTATTTGAAAAAGTAAACTTCGTCCACATTTTGCAAGGAAAACTGACATTGTTGACGCGATTCTATTATGTGTGTTGTTTTACACATAAATAACATACCAACGACACCATTTCAGAAAATACATTTTCGGCTTGTTATTTATTGTCTTTTCTTTATGTTTTATATCCAATGATTTCTAAATATTGAAAATTTATTCCGACACCTTTTACTGTTGTTCAAAGCCAGTTTATTTCGACCAGACGTTGTTTTTTTCCTCATAATATGCATTTTTCTTATAAATGCATAACAAGCTATGCGCTTGAATGGTTTTTGGCACCTTCTTCGTCATAATACACATATTATATATAATAATAATAATAATAATATATTACATTTATATGGCGCTTAATATATATAGGTGTAATTTATATTACTCTTTTTTTTAAAAACATGGTGCTTTCTATGTAATGGTTGTTTTGTAATTTTTAACTTGCAGCTTTTTTATAATACTGTTACTTAAATATTGGCACAGTGTGAATAACATGAATGTACAGGAAGGAGACAGAGGGCGCGCTTTCACTTTCAATGAGAGATGTTTTTTAGCTTGCAGTAACAACAGTATGGCCATGGTATGATTTTATTCTTAATAACTAGTGGGTATATACAGCTGCTTAAAAAAAAACGAATTACTCTCCAAAACAAATCATTAGCAACAAGACCTTTTTTTTTCAATGGCTT